TTTTTATTTTTTCCTTGGGTCTAGCTATTGTATTATTATTTCATATTGAAAAATTTTCTTTTTATTATGGGTAATCTCATCTATTAAACAGGTCAGGCAAACTTTATGGGAATTAACTATAGCTTGGGTATTGAAAGATTTTTTTAAAAGGATAAGATAAATTAAATAGTACACTTCTCCATTAAAGCATTTAAAATTGTGGCATGGACTTCTATATATTTAATTCCTTAGTAGGATATTTCTCATTTTAAATTATTGAAAGTAGTTTTTTTTTAAAGTGTAAAGCATGGACTTTTTTCCTTGGTGCCATTTTTTTTAAACATCAAAGAGGGGGACATTGTTTGTTGGAATGTCCATAGTGTTAACTCACTGTGTACCTCCTTGTAATGTTCTGTATAAACAAAATTGTGATCTTTGGTTTGCAGTGGGTATATTTTGTACACAAAGAAAGTAAACAGTTAAATTCTTAATCTGTGATCACCTATGGCAATGAAAGAAATGAAACCTAATTGTTGGTAGTAAATATATTATATCACAAAAGATATATGTTGCACAAATAGGAAAGAGGAATACTAGAGAATATAGAATGAAAAATACTTGCATGTGAGAACTAGTGACACTATCTTTCAAGTTTTTGTTCTTGTGTTGGTAAATTGGCTTTTTTAAATCTTTGTTTAGTAAGATTATTATTACTGATTTATTTTTTTTTTACAGCTTATTAGACTTCTTGCAGGTTATTTAAAGCCAGAAAATATTTTTAGATTGTGAGAATTTTTGGGGGATAATAATGATTTACTGATACAAATTTTATTAATTAGCCCGTAGCTGGATTCATACTTTTCCCAAGGGTATTTGTACGTAAGTGAATATACTAAACCCAGCTGGAATTGGAACTTGGTTCTCCTATTTCCAATTCCAAACCATTATCCATTACACCATGTGCACATCCAAGCTTACAGAACTTGGTATTCTCAAACAGTCACCCATCTAGAATTGGAACTTGGTTCTCCTATTTCCAATTCCAAACCATTATCCATTACACCATGTGCACATCCAAGCTTACAGAACTTGGTATTCTCAAACAGTCACCCATCTAGGTACTGATCAGGCTTGATATTGCTTAACTTTGGTGATTGTACGAGAAACAATATTTCAATGTGATACTGTTTAGCAAGAATTTGTGCCTGAAAGGTGGTGATAACATCTTGTGAAAGTTTTGTTGTGTGGTTTATAAATGACTCTTGATAAAAAACAGAAAGGCTCCTATTGCCAAAAAATCTGGTAGTTACAGTTCTACACATTTTTGAAGCACTATGCTCTAATTAGCTATTCTAACTCTGACAAAAATTGTGTTTCTTTTTAATTTTCAAAGTTTTCTAAAATTTTAACTACTACTAATTAGCTTATTTATAAGTTTCTTTTACTTTTTTCAGTTTTACTTTTAAAATTTTTTTCTCCTTCAAATAATATTAATTTAGGTAATATAGTAAACCTTTCACCCACACCAAGTATGGTTAGTTGAGGATCATCTTTCATGTCAGTAGTAACAGTCGTGACATCTTGATCAACCAAAATCTTAGTCACTGACCCTTACTTAGATTACAAATAATGAAAATGTTTTTCTCACAAGTGGATGCAAAGGGATATTGAGATAAAATTGCCCACTTCTGTGTTCTGATATATCAAATGATGGAATCTCTTAGTTCCAATCAAAATATCCTTCAATTGGATTCAGGCCAAGTGAAGATTACACATAAAAACAAAATGGTTCTTGGTACTTTCTTCAAAAACACAAGAAGACTGCTGTATTTAATATTAAATTTCCAACAACAGCTTTATGGTACTTATATTGGGGGCAGGAGTCAAAATTCCATTGAAATATTAGTCAATTTCATTGAATCTTGATGTAACCAAATATATTTTTAGCAGTCATAGGAAATTGATTTTGTGTCTTCCTTACATTTGTTAATGTTTACTTAGCAGTTATTATGTAAGTGTGGTCATTACAAATCTCTATTTTTATTCAGGAATTGATCATGTGACTATGGTTAATAGTTACAATAAAGTAAACACAATCTATCTGCCTTTTATAGTACTCAATCCAAAAAAGACCCTCCAGTCATATTCCCAGCTTAAATTTGAGAATTACCCTGATGTCAACAGGTTTATGGATTAGTAAAATCACTTATTAATTTGTTGGATTTGAATGCATAAAAAAAAGGCAGATACTCAAATTGAAGTTATCTCTGCTCATCCGTCCTGCTAACCCACTCAGACTCAAGTAGAGATAAAATGAGCAAGGTTAGGGATTTACTTAGTTGTAAATGGTTTATACATCTTCTTACGAAACTATCTACTGGCTTAAACAATATTGTGGCCTTTCAACTATTTCTGGCCGAGTACAACTGTTGCAACTAATTAAGATTTTTAATTATTTTATTTTGCAATTCATTCCAATCTCCATTCAAATTTAATCAACACATTTTCTTAATATGTGGGAAATAATAGACGAGAACCCTTATTACATTGGGGGCAATAAAAGCATTATTTTGTGTAGGCAAATAAGTTTTACTATTTTAGGAGTAAAAGGAAGATATACAGATCAAATCGCATAAGCCAGATGTAACTAACTGTGTACTACTGTAATTGCTTAAGTTATGAATAGTGTAACTGTACTACTTGTAATTCAATAAAACACCAACTTCAAATACAAACATTAACAATTTTGGTTAACTTAAGTCAAGTGGCTTGGGTAAGGTTACTGGAAAGATAAGTAAAATGCTCCATTTATTTTATTTAAACACTAAAAAAAATGTGTAAATTTGAAAATGAAAACTTATTACAAACCTGTCAGTAAAAAAATAAATAAATTCAAGACTACCGTATTTGACGGTTATAAGACGCATCCCAATTTCAGCAGAGCAAATCAAGAAAAAATCAGTAAAAATAAAATTATTAAATGGTACAGCCGAGGTATTATTTTGGTTAAACAAACCATGATTACAATAAACGTAAAATAATAGGAAAAAAGAATACGAGCCTATATAAAAACTTTATTTTATCCTTTGTACAACCTGCGTCTTGTAAAAACTAAACATCTTTTGAACAGATATTTATTCGTACGATTGTACAAAATGTGGCACAAGGCCAAAAAGTGGATTGAGGGAAAAAGGACGGGCTTCTTCTGTTAGCTAGTCACAAACACTGACCCAAACACGTCTTATTTGAATAATTAGGGAATAAAAATTCTGATTGTACCAATGCAACCGGAAGTTATCGCATGAAAAATATTAATGAAATTTGAAACAATTTTATTACATATGTAATTTTAATTTATTTCATAATGAAACAAAGTACTATTTAAAAGCGTGATGAAATTAATAATGAATATTATCAATGATAACACTTTTAATTTGCCTTTTTAAATAATGACAATATGAAAGTTACTAAGACGCAGGGGAATTTTAAAGATATTTTTTATTTTAGTAAAAAAAAAAGTGCGCCTTATAATGCCGTCAAATACAAATCACTTTCAGTGTTTCAGGACTAATTGAAAAAATTGGAATAGTCTTCTCTTCTTGAATATATAAATGAGCTTATAAAAATAAATTTGTAATTTACAAAATTTGATTTACATTTGGTTACTTAAGTTAAGCATCAGGTTGGCTTTTTGGAAATTAAAGTTAGTTATAATTAGTAAGAATTTGATTGCAGTTTTCATCTGATGGTCTCATTGACAAAAAAATGAGTTTTTGTATTGAAAGGCGTGACATTTTTTACTTAGCCGCTTAATGTCAATTGTCAACACTAAAGTAAGTCTATTAATAAAAATAAGTTTTTGTTTTCAATAATATCTTCTATTGATAGATGTTTTATTTAATGACTTAAAAACAATAATAATATGCAAATTTATAGAATTTGACTTTCGTCCAATTGGTCCGTGATTTGGTGTCGGTAATATTATTTTGGGCTTCCAGTTCTCAAAAGCAAAACAAAAAATAACGTGATACTTAACTTCTTGTAGGTAAAGTAGTTAAGTAGTTAATACACTAACTTTCCCAGTTATAAAGTATTACATTTTTAAGAAAAAATTTCTTTGTCATTTATATTCCTTTGAAAAAGCGTTGAACGTCAATGAAGTAATAAAGAAAAAAATAAGGTAAAACTACGACTCGTATTCGTAATGAGAAAACAGGTTGTCATCAGTATTTTTATTGTTTGGGTAATTAATTCAAGAACATGACAGAAGCGCTTTATAATTTTATGTTTCACAATTCTGTTTATACTGTTAAATTTAAATGTTTGGCTTACCAAGCTGAGTCCATTTTTCTTTTCATAAATAAGAAAAAGCACGTGCACGTGGAATTCCCACACAAAACAGTTGTAGTGGTTATGACGTCACAACTCACATTTTCATTCAAGCCTTCTTTTTCATTTTTTGTTGTATATTTGTCAAATAAAAAATGATTATGTAATCTGATTAACTTCTTCCGATTAATGTCATCATTTCATGATGTAGACAATATTTTCTTTTATCGCTTCCTTTGGTGAATAATAGTTTGTCAACTGTGAGTGTGTGTGTAAGTAAGGATTTCAATTTTATTATCGATTATTCATCTTTTTCGTTTACTTTTAAAACGTGACATAATAAATGATAAAATTAATTCAAATTAAAAAACAAACAAATTATATAATCAAAACAAAAATTAAGACAAGCAAGGTAATAGCTAATAAAGATATTGACTGAAGGTTTAAGGAAACGGATAAAATCTTTTTTTTTTTTGTTGTTTAAACATAAAAAGATTTGACGTGAATCATCACGTGGCATTAATAGTGGTCTCTGATTAGCCGAGCTAGCGACCATTCTTGATGAATTGAACGGTAGGTGACGCTTTCAATCCTTTTACTTCCGGTTTATTGCGGCCCACACGTGTGGCCGAGAAGTTATTCTAAATTGAACGGCGAACGGATTTGTGTAAACTGTCCCCACCGTATCAAGAATGACTGCCAAACTAAACGGAGAATCGAAGAAGAAATCAAAGAAAAAAGTTCGTTCCTTATGTTTTTCTCAATTTTGTACGCGATCTTTTCTTTTGTAGTCATGTCCGATTTTTCTTCACCACGTTGCCTTATTTTTTTCATTACTTTAAAACCCTAATGCTACCATCAGTAAGTTATTGGGCTGTCAACAGCTCATTCATTCCACCCTTTTTTGTTTAATGTATTGTATGTCTCCTTGTATGTATTTGTGACTTGGTCTATATTTCACGTTGATTTTTGTTACTCCAATCACTTAGATTGTTGGACATAAGAGTCAGTTCCAATATGGCTACTCCGCTACGTCTGATGCCTTTCGTACTTTTAAAAAAACTTTTTTTTCACATTAAAACGTCTTTTACACAATTTATTATTAGCTTTATTGAAATTGATGTACAACATTATTCATCGATCGCTTCTCTAACTAATGCTTAAAAATAAAAAGCAATCATGACTCGTTGCTCGTGTTTAGTTTCCATCCTTTCCTTGAGCAATATCCAAAGATCTATCGATGATCGATTAATGATTTTGGTGGATTATTATTTTCTAGCTTTATAAAGACTCTCCATTTATACCAGTGAATCTGGCCTTGGGAAATAAATCGTGTGCTAAAATGATCATTAAGAAACTGATTTTTTTATATATGGCAGTTTTTATTTTAAATTATAACTTTATCTTTTTTCTTTACTTTACAAAAACAAATAAAGTCTTAGGTCTTTAATGCCATTTTAGTAAAATCATTTTATTCAGTTTCAAAAAAAAAAAAAATGAAAGTATAAGGAAGTTAATCAAAAGAATAACATTTCTCTGCCATTCACATTTTTACCGACTGTCTTAGACTTTCACTTAGCAAACGCTACACATTCGAAAAAAAAAATGAAATTAATCAATTTCAGTTTTTATCATGCTGACAATAATGATTGAAGAATTATTTTTCTATCTGATGGTGTCACTCACACTTAAATCCTGTCGTAAATGTGCGAAAATACGAAACTTGTATATTGCTTTTGATTTTTTTTTGTGTTGTATGACCATCTTTGAGTGATTCCTTCGTATTTTTACAATTTATGTCTTCATTGAATTAAAAGAAAGTTTCTTGTATTTCAGTTCGTTTTTTTTAATCGTGTAAAACAATTACAGAATATGGCCAATTGTGTCCAAGAAAAACATGAAAATGTAAACACAAGTTATGATTGTTTATCCTTTTTGTTTTTAATTGTGATGTTGGACAACATTTGTTTAAATTATTTGATAACTTCTCCCAATAAATAGCGACTATATAATTCAATTTTATTTGAATCCATTATTATAAATTGAACCCTTGTGTAGTGTTTTTTTTTTTAATTACACCCATATTATCGGCAGCGATGTAAAAACGTGATTAAAATGAGAAAAAAAAAGATCTCATTGTCCTTCGATTATAAACTTGCTGTACATTGGATCCTATGCTTAGATTTCAATATTCCTTAATCAATTGATTTTTTTTTTTTAAATCTTTTATTAAAAAAGAATAACTTTATAAACCTGACATTTGTTCGTGATAATTCACATGTCTTACTCTTCTTAGTCCTTTAAATTAATTGTCAGTTTTTTATTAAAAGGGGCTAAATCGGTTATTTTCTTTTCTTCCAAAATATTAAAACGTTTAAATTTTCATAAATAAACATATCAGCCATTTCGCACTAACCACGAAGCCACCATGCTGGTTTTTGGTGTGAAATATTGACAAGAAGCAGGTCACTGTATTTTCTACCTTATGTTCTCTTACAATTAATGTCATGTTTATACTGCCAAATATATCTTTTACGAGGTTATTCAGGAACTTTTAAAATTGTTACTATGTCTGTAATTGAATGGGTTTTCTTTCTGGAAAAAAATTTACTCCATGTTACGAATAATAATAATTGATGTTAAAATAAATGTGTGAGTAAATAAAATTAATCCCAGAACAGTTTTTTTCCAGTGTAGTCCTCAGATTTTATTCTATTTACACTACAATACATTAGTTATCTTTTTTATTTTGATTTTTAAGCTTGATTGCAATTATTTGTTTTTAGTCGAACACACGTGCGCTCTACCATGTGGTCGCTACGAATAAATGAACCTTAACTAATTTTTTTTTTTTTTTTTTTTTTCCCCCTCTTCTCTCGTGTCGTTTTTGTCTCCCTCTTCGTTGACCCAACACTGTTCATGCTCAGCTGTAATATGTTGAATTCGGGGAGGACGAGCCCTATTTTTCTCTCTCCTTCGTGCCTCCCCTTCTTTCATATCTTTCTACTGCAAGGCTCTTCCGCCATTGTTTGTCTCTTCACACTCTTGCTTAGCTGCTGCTACTTCCCTAGTTCAGTTACCCTCCTTAATTCCTATACCCACCGCCTTTCCTCATTTTGATTTTGCGATTTTATACTTACGTCACCTCCCACAACAAAACATCAGTCTTGATAATTTATTTCCGAATGGAAATCTCAGTCAGTTCTTTTGGCTATAAACCACCGACCAGTATCTCTTGCCAACCTCTTTATCCCAAGAGTAATTTTTCAAGGAGACACGTGGATGGTATAGACTCTTCATTACAACGACGACTACGCCAGGTAAAGAAAGACAGAAGAAAGGGAAGGAGTCGTCATTTTTTCCCTTGTTCTTGCACACATCGCTCATTATTTTGAGACATTATCAGTATTTAATTTTACTCTTTACTTTTTAATTACTGATAAAATGTATTCTTCACGCTGTTTGTTTTCTTCGTTTCATTTATTGACCCATTTCCTCTTCTGACATACTACTTTTAGTTTTTTTTAGTATTCATCATCAAAACAAAGCGTTAGACATTTAGTCCAATAAACCCCGTAATTTAAAAATGGTTTGCTTTTTGTAGCTAACTGGGAAATATCCTCAAATTTAGCATTTTTTTTTTTCTAATTTATCCGAGTAGGTCGTCGGATGTAGTCTGTTTTAAAAAAATAGTTTAAGAAAATTTCCCCCCCATTTTATTTAAAAAAACTAACAAAAAACAAACTCGATTTCGGGATGCGGTAGGGTAAATTTTAGAGACAGAAATAGAAAAGATTCGGAGCTTGAAACGTTTTCTTTATAAATTTTTGTTTTGTAGTTACCATAACAAATCCTCCCTTTGTGATGTTTTTACTTGTCATATTATTGACAATGTAAACAAATATGAATAATTAGAAAATTCTTTAACAAAATAGATAAAAATACATTTAGTGTTTTTACTTTTAAATAATTGATTGCAATATTGTTATTGTGTATGTTAATAAGAATTGATCACATTTAAAAAAAAAAAAAAAATCGCCACACTCCATCTCCTTAAGAGATGGGGTGCTGATGATAATTCTAGTTTATTTTATTTATTTTTACCTAAATCTTTCCGCGTATGTTAATCTTTGCCTGTTTTTTTTTTTTTTTTCCTTTCTTTCCTCTCTACAATTTACACTTAGGCCATACTGTCTCATCGCTCCTTTTCTCTCAGTAAGGATTAACCATTGAATGTAGGCTTTTGAGCCTTTTTATTATTTTGCATTCAAATGCAATAAAAGATAATTGTTCATAATCATGCTATCCAGTTATGTAGATTATTTTATTTAATGAAAAAATTTGAAAGGATACAAAAAACAAAACTGAACTTATTCTCTTAAATCTCATTTGATTGTGTGAGTGTCTACTGCGTGCCTTAAAACATTTCCAATGTTCCAAGCTTGATTTATACTTGAAAGTTTTAATTCTACATGTTATGAATTGTACAAAATGAAACAAATTTGAATATGGAGTTTTAAAATCTATTAACTTCAAAGTTTTTATTTATATATTTTTAACAGTGTTTTAATTTGAAAGCTATTTTGCAAGTTCAATTTTTTCTTTTGATCTGGGAAGAGAAAAGACTTAACGAAAATTTATAAAAAATAATTTAAAATAAGATCTTTTCTTTCAGTAGTTACAGTTGAGTCACTGTCTTGTACTTCATAGATTTGTAAATTTTAGATATACCGAATTCTTGTGAGTTCTGTTTAAAATATACGTGATTTTTTTTTTTTTTTTTTTTTTTTTTTTTTTCCCTTCTTCAGCCAAATCATAACTAAGATTTTATTTGGTTTTCATTGTGTTCTTAATTAAAATATTTCTTTCTTTCCAGGAAACAAAATCGGATGCAAACTGTAATGGGAATGCATCTAGTTCTTCTGATGGCGAGAAACCCACAGATATTGACCCCCAGGTACAGGCTGGTGCATTCACAAATTTCCGCATTTCTGAAAACACCATTAAGAAATTAAAGCGTAAGTTTCTTTTAAATTTATTTTGTGACAAACTGATCGAAGACTATTGAAACTGTTTTTCACATTTGATTGGTGAAACTGATATGGCATAGGAAATTATTTTTGCTCAGTTTCTTTGTGTTAAGCCAAAATAAAATGAAAATGTTTAACTTATTCATAAAACGAAAAGCATAGTTTTATAAATCTTCCTAGCTTGTAACTTAATTTAAAAGAAAAAAAAAATACCATCTTCCCAAAGAAGAAAATGTTTGAATATACTTTGGCACTGTAGTAAAGAGCAAAAGCACACTAAATTATGAGTGGGTACCTTCACGAAATGTAAACAAAAAGAGTATAGCATGATGAAAAAGACACCAAACTTGATGAAAACAAAATTTTGTCTAATGTTCATATTATTATTAAAGAGGAAAGATCAAAGTATTTGGAGGGCATTTTTTTAAAATCTCGTTTTTTTTTGTTTTTTTGTTTTTTTTTTTTTTTTTTTTGTTGTTAAAAAAAAAAAAGGACAGATAATCAATCATTTTTTTCCCATTTTATAAAAAAGATGAAAATCTCGCTTTGACAGTCTTTTAGAAATCAATTTTTCAAAACTTATTTTAATAAAATCATAAATTGTTTATTTAAAATATTTTGAACCAAGCTTAACTTAGCTTCTACGCCGAAAAAATGTAATTTGAAAATAAAACAAAGCAAGTGACACTTTCGTCACCTGTCACTTGACAGGTGACGAAAGACATTTTCATGACGTTTAGATAACTAGGATAGAAGGAAGTGAAATTGTTTGGATTTAAGTGAACAAATTATTTACCTCATTACTTTTGAGGAAAACTTTCAGCGCTCTAAATTTTTTTTTTTTTTTTTTTTTTTTAGCTTTTTCATCTTTACGTTTACGATGCTTTATGGAAAATATATTATAAAGAAATTAAAAAATAAGACTGTTAAGAGTGAGATTAAATTTTATAAGAAAGGTATCTAATTAATGAAATTTTATCAGAAGTGTACATAAAATACTATAATTTTATGTATATTTATTACATTTTACTGTGTTATTTGTATTTCCATTCATTTTATTATTAATATTTCATTTATGGAAAAATGTCATAACTGAGATGAATATAAAAATAAGATCATATAAATTAAAGTTTAGCAGCAGTAGTTAAATTTCATAAGATGATACTGATACTTGTAGGTACTCTTCTAAGTTGAAATTGAAAAATCAAGTTAACTTCTCCATACGTACGTGTTTCGCAAAAGTAAAGGCCTTAATAGCGGAGAACAATGCTGAACTCAAATAACGCAACTTAATTGTATTCTGGTTGGTCTTCCGTACTTTATAATTATACCCTGATTATAAACACAAAATTATATTTCTTAATTACTGTGGATCTTCTGATTAGTCAAAATATACAATTTTCAAAGTGCTAAAAAATGATCTATCTCATAGGGACACTTAGAAAAACCAATGTGGCTTTTAACTAATTTTATAATATTTTTTAACAACTTGATGTAAAAATCTATTATAATTAAAGAAATAACAAATAATTGTTAAAAATTCAATTTTCATTGAAAAATTTTTTGCTTTCAGAAAATATTGTCCACATTCATAAAAACAAATAAAAGCATTTGAAATTAGATAATATCTTTGTTTTATTGAATTTTCTATGTTACAATTCAGTGCTGATTTTGTGCTTTTAATTATTGTAATCACTAAAGCCGATGTGATCAAATTTCTAGTTTTTCATAAAATTAGTTATGGGGGTGTTAATAAATATATAAAAAAATATTTCTGCCATGACTTTAATAAAACAAAAAACATAATTTCTATTATGTGAATAGTTTCTGAAAGTTTCATTGACATCCGACAATTATTTTTAGTTTTGCAAGATTTTCCAAATTAATGTGTGTAATACAAAAAAAAACGTGCTAAAAATTCTGTTATTTTACTAGTTTCAGTTGGTACAAAGAGAAACAAGGTGGTTGTTTTTTTTTTTTTTTTTTTTTTTTTTAATCAAAATTTAGAATCTTCTAAAAAGAAGTAAAGAATTTTTTTAAAATAATTAAAAAAAAAAAAAACAAACTTTGGTCTTTCCTCTTCATAATAACATAAGCATTTAGACGATAAAATTTTGTTTTCATAAAGTTTGGCGTCTTTTTCATCAAGCTATGCTTTTTTTTTTTTTTTTTTTTTTTTTTTTTTTTTGTTCTGCAAGTAACATTTTCTGTATGATCACTTATCGAACTACTTTAAAGACAAACTAAAATGTGAATTAATTTATGTTCTGGATAGTTTTAAAACATTTGCAAATCATATTAAATGTTGTTTCTACTCTTGTATGAGCATTTTTATAGATAAAAAAGTCAGTAAATTAAGGCTATTTTCTGAATAAATTTATATTTAAGAATGTGTGACAAGGAAAGAAGTGGTAGTTATGAGCTCACAGAAAAATGTGTGTGTGGACATTGAGGGGGGCCAGATATTGTATATGCTAGCATTGTGAGTGAGGGTTTCAGTGTATTGGAATTGTTCAAAATACCAGACCCCCATACATCTGCTTACCATAGTTACATTATAAGTATAAGCTTCTCTGATGTCCTTGAAGTTTGATCTGAGCTGATAACTCAGCTAAAATTGAATAATTTATTAAACACCTACAATTCATGGTTATTGGTTAAAAATAAATCTCATGAAATGTGGGCTAATTTAACAGTTTTGCATCTCATTATACTCCCCCTGCCAAACTTTAAAAAAATTGTACAAAAACGTATTGTATAAACTTATTTCCTAAATAGACTTTTTAAATTTTTTTCATTGACTTTGTACTAATAATTATTTTTTAATATTCCAAGGGATGCTGAGAAGTTCTTGTCTTCACTAAGAAGAATTTACAAAATGAAATTCGGATATTGGAAGTGGGCTGGGTTCAGCACTCTTGTATATCTTGAATAAATAAATGTGAAACAATATTGATTTCTTTTATTGTTTATAATTTTCTTTTCCACTTTTAGACATTTTATCTAAATTTATTTTATTTGCAGATAATAGCATTGAATATTTGTTCCCTATCCAAGCACAGACTTTTGATTTTGTTTATGATGGCCATGATTGTATTGCACAAGCTCGTAAGTACTTTTTGTTTTTTTATTTCATTAATATCAAGTGTGTGTGAGAGAGAGAGACACACCCACACACTCTAAAACCACTCGATAAACTCCCTATCTGTGCATTCCAGGGATGTCTCCCCCCCCCCCCATGAAAAATGAAATATTGCACCCAACTCACCCATAACAGTTATGAGGTAGTAAAAGGAATTTACATCCACATGTAATTCAAAATGTAACTAATATATTCCTTCTGTAACCGAATGCAAGTCATTTGTCAAATAAACTGATAGATATAGAGATTATTTACATTATTCAGACTATTGTCCTAATCTTTGTCGCCATACTTATTACAACATTTCGGCTGTTGTATGCTCCAGCCTTCTTCAGGTGGTTGGAATGTTGAATTGAACCCTTTATTTTGCTCACTGGGGTAGACTGTTCTAGTTCCACGTGCTGTGTTTTAATGGATGTCAGTTATCAGTTATCTTCTGTTAATTTCCCAACTGGGTCTAACCAATGCCTTTATCCATTGTACCATGTGTCCTCAAGGACACATGGCACAGTGGATAAAGACGTTGGTTAGACCCAGTGACAGGGCCCAAATAGTGTGAGTTCAATACCTGGTTAAGGCAGTGGAGAACTTTCAGAGGGTTCAGTTCGACATTCCAACCACCTGAAGAAGGCCGGAGTGTACAACAGCTGAAACGTTGTAATAAGTATGGCGACAAAGATGAGGACAATAGTGCAAATAATGTACATAATACCTCCTCTCAAAAATATAGACAGATATAGAGATGTTCACAAGTTTACTGAAAAATGGCATACTATGATGGAAAAAATGTCCCAAGCTTAACAAAAACTGTTTTTTGTAGATCTTTACATTATTATTATTATTAAGGTGGAAGACTTTGTTTTTTTTTTTTTTTTTTTTTTTTAAGAAAGCTTGAAGAAAGATTATGCATTTAAAAAAATACATTTTAAATCTTACATCCCTATATTAATGGTAATTAGTATTGTGATAATATATACTTGATTTTGTGTTCTAGTTAGCATGATAGTCAAGTATGTAGAGATGTGTCAGACTAATAGTCATTTTCATGGTTTTTGAAGTTTTAATTGATGTAATTGCCATTCTTTGTGGGATTGAAATGAAGACCTGATGGTTGGCGAAAAAAGCCTCTTGTAGGGATGCTTGAATGCATCTGAAATTACTTAGTCAAGTGTCAGTAAATATTTTTCATCTTCCTTTTTAAAAAAGGTTTTGAAATAAGTGATTTTCTAATGCTACACACGCACCACAGCTGTTTAAAACCCTTGTTTTTGTCATATAGGAAAATCCAACATGGCGAGTAAACGAAATATGCGGCAAAAAATCTCATTCGTCAGTAACATTTTAAACACCTCATAGAATGTAAAGTTCTTAAAGAAAACCTATGTCAAAGTGTTTTCCTGAATCCTTGATGACTTGGCTGTCCGAAAATGATAATATCAAGATGAAATAATGGAAACTGACCGTGAAAAATACAATTATGCGCAACAGGTTTTCGATCAATTAGTAAACTTCTGGACCTTTTAGGGCGACCTTATAGGATCCAGACGGCTATTTTTTGCACATGGAATTATTCACTGGTAATTAATCTTGATTTGGCTGTGGAAAATGTCACTTTCGGCGGTTAGCATTAAGAAATTATGCACAATTTTCTGAGAAAAATCCCTTTTTTATGAAAAAATATTCATTTTAAGCTTCAAAATAACATCATTCAAAATTCATTCCTTTCTCTTTCATTTGGCATGAACATCATTGAATAAAAAGAAAGGCTAAATGGACCGGCGATGGGAAATACAAAAGATATCTGGCGAAAAAAAACAATGTTGTCTGCTAAGTGTTGTTGTCATCACCGGGTCACGGGTGTTAAAAACAAAACAAAACTTATCAAGCCATTGTTCAAACATAGGTTATATGAAGCCCTAGTAATTGTGAACCCTTTTTATTCACCCTTTGCTTTTATCTGGGGGAGTGGTGGGTTTTATTACAACTTGTTCTAAGGTTTGCCGTCCGTTTATTGCTAGCTGGCTGGCTGGCCTTTGACCTAGACGTCAAAGTCAATTAGGTTTATTTTCCCTTATCACTATTTTTAGGAAAAAAAAAAAAAAAAAAAAAAACTTTTGGTTTCTGGTGGTTAGGAATTGCAGATAAATCTCTTGCCTTTTTACTAAAGATTTCCGTGGCCAGGTGTCAATTTTTTTAACCCTTGGCAGTCATAATTGAAAATTAACAATGGATTTTGTCGCATTTTTGAACCCCTAGGAATGTTGATTTCCTTCAAAACTCTCAATTTTATGCCTGAAATAGTTTGATTATGATCTAGGCTTTCTGATTTTCAAAAAAAAAAAAAAAAAAAAATGGTTAATTTCCCATTAATGGGGGAAATATTTATTTAGAACAAGAAAAAAATGCAAAATTTTCACTATTTTCACATTTTACCCACTGAAAAAATTTTTTGAGTCATTTACACCAGCTAATTTTACTTTTAAATGAAAGAATATATCTTTTGCTTTCAGAAAATACCTAGTTTCATGGGGTTCAGATCAAAAGTTTCCTTGATATTCGTTTAGGTGATGATAAAACAGTCATTTTCAATATTTTACCCTAAAAAAGTATGAAAACCCATATTTTGAGAGAAAATAAGCTGTGACAAAATGACTTTTGCTATTTTTTTGTGATGATTTTCACTTGGGAAAGAAAATTTTTTACCATAGGAAACCTGAATTGACTTTATTTAAGTTCAGTGGGTCTGTAGGAAGCCTCAAACAGCTGTGGCACACATACAATAAAAATGTATTCTCTCCTAATCCTATTTCTTTTCTCTGATCTTTAATTTAAAAAAGTGAGGTGTGGGGTAGAAATATGAAAGTTGTTTGTTTCCTTTTGTTTTACAGTCATTAAAAATAAATTGACTTTCTTTGTTTCTAAGCAATACATTTTAAATTTAGTTCTGATTAAATTTCTTTGAATGACGGCTGAAATGTTGTGATACTCAGATTGGGTATGAACATATCACATTTCACATGGAATCTCAAACCTCCTCCTCCCCCTGTAGTGACCAGTGAGGGGGAAAAGTTATAAGGATGCTCAAGCAGCAGTCAATAGTAGCTCTCAAAGGGCATCAGATATTCACTGATCTGTTTTATTATTTTCATGCTAGTCTTAAACAACTAAAATAAAATATACATACAAAAACTGTGGGAAGACCCAGTGCTTATTTACAGACATCTGCATTCCGTTTGATGGCCATTGTACTAAAATCCTTTTAGATGGTGCACAGGACAATTGATAGCTTGCTGACATACTTCACTAAAGAAGTGCCCCAGGATCTCGGCAAAGACACAAGTATAAATAGCTTAAAAAAAAAAATTTCAAAAGAATTTCATCAGCATCACTACTTTGATGATAGATGCCATAGGGGAGAAGACGCATTACAGTTACTATCCCAGTTCCTGCAAAGGGATGTGGTTAGATTTTGTCATCAAGGATTTGGAAAAAGTCGAGGAATGTCATCTTCCAACATGATGGTAATAGTCATGTACAAGAATGAGCATCATCTCACAAATGCCTCATTTGATTTGGACCAACTGTGCATCAAATTTATCAACAACTTGATAAGTAACATGCCCTTGATTGTTCCAACCATCTGTCTGTTGTGTGCATCCATACAATCTGCTTTATGAGTGAGGAAAAAGCTGAATGTCTAGGGAGAGAAAAAAATGGACATGAACAAACCTACAATTGGATGAAGGAGGATTGACTTTTTATGATTACCCAAAAAATCAATGCTGTTCAGTCTTGACTGGAGTGCTGTAAAGGTTAGTTTGAAAATCTTTTTTATCCCCAAAGATAGCATGTGGTATCTTTAGGCATTGGTGACAAATTATCCTTTAAAATATTTTCCTGACCGCAACATTCTTGCTCAACTGACCACCACCCTGCATCATTTGATCTTTCTCAACATACTTTACATTGTTTTAGTTAAGTTTTATTGTTGTGCTAAATGTTTCATAGTGACTGGCTGGATTAATTTTCTCATCAATTAAAATCACATTTGCTTTAGTTGATTATTTTCAGGCTAAAGAATCTTGGTGACACTGTAGATTCTGTCAGGGTGATGAGCATGTTTTGTTTGTATGTTAAAATCAGTACTGTAAATTTATTTTGGTGTTGCTTAGGTGCTGGTCACTATTTTGTTTTTGAAATTTATGCAATGTTTTGTTCACATGCAGTATACACAGGTTTATTTGTGAGGATTTATCTTGGTGTAATTTGTTGGAGAAAAAAAACATTTCTGTGAATTTTGTATTAATTAGGCCTGTATTTCTAAGCTGATTCAAGGTAGCTTACATAGATTTTTTTATTTTTTTTTTAAAGATGGTTCACGTAATCATATTCACTTTTGACAATGTTTTAACCTTCATGTTTCACCAAAAATGGTGTCTTTTGACTCCCTCGGCACTTTTTTTTAGTGATTGTTCCGAGTTTTTAATTAAGCCAAAACACTTGAAAGTGGATTTATACATTTTCTTTTTCTTGAGAATTTACAACATTGATATGTTTATGAAGTTATGAACAAAAAAAAAAATACATCATTAAGATGGTAAAAAAAAATATTGCATTGTAGTTCATGTAATTTTTTTTTTTTTTTTTTTTAAAATTTATTTCTTTATAAAAAAGTAAATATCACATACTTGATTCATATATCTTTTCTTGTCAATAGCCATTACCAGTAGTAAAGTCTATACAATAATAGCAGTGTCAAGGGAATAACTATCCATTTGACACTGTTTTTGAGGTTATGAAGGTTAAACATTGACTCAACTTTTTTAGTAAACCAGTCAACACATCAAAATTTTTAATTTAACAATTAAAAAGAAAAAAGCTATATATAATTTATTTATTTTTTAAACCGGCCTGAATGTCTGAGAAATTTCACAGAAAATACGCATGCTCTGACAGGAATCGGACATGTATGCTACACTAAACTGGTATAGCACATAAGGCTACATGGTAGTTCCATTTAAGGTTAGATTCTTGTCAGAGGACTCATTTTTTATGAAATTTTTTGGGCATTCAGGCTGGTAAATGTTAATACTGTTTATTATAAACAGAGCATTTATGTAAATATGTGTTTATATAACTAAGGTATAGCAATGAAATGTGTTAAAATAATTGTTGGATTTAGTCGATTTCAAGATGTCAGGTTTAAGATAAACTTCAAACAGATATGAATGTTTGAGGGGAAAATCCTGGGAAATTTGTAAATACACCATAACTATTCTCCTTACTGGAAATAGTAAATTTAATCATTTAGCTTTAAAGCTAAAATGGAATCTTCAAGAATTTTTTTTTTTTTTTCACATTAAACCTTAGGTATCAAAAATTCAGTGGATGTACCTCTGTCTGTCTGTCTGTCTGTGCGTCTGTCTCATATATATATATATATATTGTGTGTGTCCAATTAACTCCTCTGCTCCCACTGGCCTGATTTCAATGATGCATGGCTCATTCAAAAGCCCTAGAAAAGTTAGGCACAGGGAAGGATTTTTTGTTGAGATCAAATTCAGGGTTGCCAGATTATGTAAGGTTAAAAATATATATTATACTAGCCATTATTGTTGCTTTCATGAATCAAGGGAAGTTTTTTTTCTTTTGTATCCCAAATTGCAGCTGGCTAAAATTTTAAGCTACTTCCTGTGAAGGGCTCTTGGTTTGGCTGTCATCACAATAACTAGGGGAGGAGTAGATGTAATAGGCATCAATAAAGTACAGAAGAACTCTAATTTTTCTGCTGCCACTTAATTTGAAGATGATTTGATGTATGTAGATCCTTATTTTCCACACAAACAATTTTTCTATTTAATGGGTGACAGAACTGGACAATTTATATAAAATTGATATAGTGTAAAGATGGGAAAATAGAAATTAAAATTAGTTACACATTCAACATTTAAAGAGTTAGGAAACATAATAGCTGATTAAGTTATTCCAATATTATGGAGTCTATATGAATAAATGCAAAATTGGGGCTCAATTCTCCCACAAATTCTGAGATTAAAAAGCCCCCAGCTCTACTTTCTAGTAATTTGGTATTTGCTCTGAATTGTAACATACTGTTGTAACCTTATGAAACGTGGAGAAGTTAATTTGATTTTTCAATTTCAACTGAGAAGGGTACCTACAAGTATTAGGTAGCTATCTTATGAAATTTATATGATCTTATTTTTATATTATCTCGGTTATTACTTTTTCCATGAATGAAATATCAAAATTAATTATAAAATGAATGGAAATGCAAATAATACCATAAAATGTAATAAATGTACATAAAATTATAGTATTTTATGTACACTTCTGATAACCTTTCATAAGAAAGGTACCTATAATTAATTAGATACCTTATGACATTTTCTCACTCTTAGTCTTTAGTCTTATTTTAATTGTTTTTTTATAATATATCTTCCATAGAACATCACTTTTCAATTGTCACCATTCCTCTTATTTTAAACCACATTTTTCTTTGATGCAGAAAGTAAGTAATGTTTGTTTCAAAATACATTAAATAAACTTTATAATTTCTAATTTTCTTAAAATAAATTTTGAAAGTATAATTTTGAAAGATTTTTAAACTGAAAATTTCACTTTTGCTTACAAAATTTTTAAAAAATGGTTGACACAATTTTTTTTTTTTTTTTTTTTTTTTTTTTGTCAATTTTGCTGACTCAAAAAAAAAAATGATTAAATTAGGATTAGGAATGATTAAGAAAATGTAGAAAAAAATAATTAAAAAATACTTTGATCTTTCCTCTTAATAACGAACATTTAGACAATAAAAAATTATTTTCATTTTTAAGGCCATTTATAGCCTTTTCTGTGAAGAGGCAGATTTCGGTTGTACAGGGGTAAATCTTGAACCCTCCCACCAATAACTCATCATTTATTTATTTATTTAATTAACTGAGTATCAATCTAGCGAAATGGTTATTGACATGAAATGAAGTATGATTTTTTTTTCTTTTTTTTTCTTGTTTGTGTGTGTGATCTTTATTGATGTTTAGCAAATGTTTACGAGGACCAAACAGTGGATGTGAGCAAAGTTAGTTGATATTTCTGAAGTGATGACAGTAATGTGTGGATTGTTTCTGCTGTTAAAGAATCTTGTTGTGGTATGCAAGCACTTTTTCATTGCTTGCAAGAATGTGTAACCAGTGGTGGTGACTCTGGAAAAAAAAAAAAAATCTTGTAGCTGAAAATATGTTTTATCCAAAGGTGTCATTATTCTTATTGTGGTTTGCATGGGAATAAGTAGGAGGCATTTCTTTCAATGTAATATGAACATTGCACTAATTGATAATCAGTAATATCAGCATTGCTGATGAATTGGCCCTTTGCTTCTACTCTTTTTGTGTGACTTGCCACAAAATTCAGTTTTTTTGTTTTTTTTTTGTTTTTTTTCTCACTAGGATTAACACTAACTCTATAGATACATCTCTTATTGTGCTTACATGAAGTACAATCTTTCTAGAAACATTCAACAAACTTGTGGATGTTTGTAACATTTTTTTTCTATAAAAAAAAAAAACAATTTCTATTATAGCACTTTGTTCCATTTGTGTGTCCAGAGAGGCAGCTATTTTGAAAGAGTATTATGTGTAAGAAAAAAAAAATGCCACAAATTTTCATCCTTGAGCTTCTGGGCATTTTCTAGTTTATGGCTTAAAACAAATACTTTTTAAATTAGTTTTTGACTGCTATCAGCTCATATGTCTGTAACAAATAGGAAATGTTTATAAATTTAACATGTTTCTTTTATTTAAGCTTCATCAGAAATGTTTGGAAATTAGTTGTGGAAGAGAATATTCCCCTAAATTTGAGTTTTTATTTGATTTTTCATTGGTCCGGTAGATCTTGTATATATACATCTGTCTCTTGAAATGTGGTTCAATTAAGTCTCGTAGCTAAATGCTCCACATGTCTGATACATAGATGACATCCAACTAATATATTCCTCCTACAAAAATTTAGTAAATGTTATAAGAAAACTATGTAGAACCAACCACTGAATTCACACAGCATGAGACAACTCAACCCTTCGTCAACATCCTATTAATCCAAACTAAGAACAAATTAGATTTTAAAAATTTACTGTAAACTCACAAACAAAAATTACTTAATCAATTTCTATTCCTACCACAGCCAAAATATAAAATCAAGAAGATTCTAAGCATCCTTAGAACACCTAGATGAAGAAAAATACATTGAAAACTTTATACTACTTCACTCTCCCCTCATCCTCAACACTAGGAAATGAGCATATAAAATTCAAAAGACCAAAAATGTAAGCAACATTGACAAAAAAAAATATAATCCTACCTTCTGTGAAAAAATTTGTGAATCTTCTAATGAAATGACTTGATATCTGGATATTCTTTTTCTAGTTTTTGTTTGACATTTTGTAACATTTTGGGGATATGTAGGTATCCCAAACTAAAATCTTACTTTTAATATATCTAAAAGCTTTAAATGCAAACAGAGCTTGACAAAAAATGGTACCAAATTTATCTTGGTAGCTCAATTAGCAATGAAATCAGTTTTACTTAAAACCTACTATGTGCCATCTAGCCTTCATCTGAGGTCTGTTGTATATGAATATGTTGGCCAATCCTACTTCATGTATGCATATGCATCATCTTTTTCTTCAATTGCTGACTTGATAAAATTTTATTTCTTTTTAAATTGATCTTTTACCATTAAAACTGTTCTTAGATTGATTTTCTCATCCCCACTCTCGTATACACCCCCTCCTCATTTTTTTTGAGTATTAAAATATAAGAACCAGAATTGGTTATTTTTTTATCTAACTACTGATCAGATTTTATTTATTCCTTTCTATTTTTCTCTTACAGGAACTGGTACAGGCAAAACAGTAAGTGTATAATTCTTATGAACAGCTGCAGAGAGATTAATTTATAGTAGTAAATAGAACTACTTTATTTAAAAAAAAAAAAAAAAAAAAAAGTGGTTGCTTAATCTTAACAATTTGGATGTGATTCATTAAATAAATTGTGAGATGACTTAAAATTGATAACTTTTTGACTTCTGTAACTTCACTTAAAAAAAAATAGTCTTAGCTTCTTTTTATTTTCATATATATAATTGGTTGACTAAGATACACCCCTCTCACTCACAAAGAAATAATGTTAATCAAAGAAGTATCCATTTAATATCTATATCATTAAAAGTTATTAAATGTGTGGCATTTTTAAAATTTTCTACTCTAGTTTTAATTTACAAAAAAAAAAAAAAACAACAACAGCAAAGTCCTGAAAAACTTTCACACATGCCTAATAGGTTTTATCAGCTTATATTGGTGTACACTAACTTTTGCAATTTTCTCTTGTAGCTCTCTTTTGTTCTGCCTTTGGTTGAAAAACTTCAGAAGAAAAAGAAGACCAAAGAAGGCAGAATGCCCAGGGTGAGTTTCTTCATCAGATAAGTATAATAGTTTAAATATGATTAATTTTTAAGCCATTGTCAGTTTTAGTGATTGTATTATACACTAGGCACAAAGCTTCTCTCTGTGCAAAAAAAATCACTTTAAAATTAGAATCTGTTGTTTTTTTTTTTTTTTTTTTTTTTTTTGTTGAAACCCTTACCTCATTTAAAATTAAAACTTGGAGTGATAGGTTCTCAGATGGTATTTTGAAATTTTTATGTTTCTGCTTTATAAAATCGTGAGATGAATTGGATTATGGGAATATATATGGTGATTTAATGAATCATTAAAAATAGAAAAGTTTGATTATTTTTTTTTTTCAACATTTGCTTTTTTTTTTTTTTTTCTCAGGTAATTGTTCTGGTTCCAACTCGTGAATTGGCCAAACAAGTCTTTGAAGACTTTTTGACTGTATCAGGAGATCTGTCTGCTTTTTGCATCTATGGTGGAGTGCCATATGAACCACAAGGTGATGATTTCTCTAAAATACCTCTTAAGAATATTTTTTTTTTTTTTTTTTTTACATGTATAAGACTATCGCATTGAAGGAGCAATTAAAATCTTTACATATATAATAGAATGAGATACTTAGGCAGCAAATAGTAAAATTGAGTATATTTGTACAGGTATATTTACAAATGCATAAAATGTAGCTAGTAAATCTATCATTTTTTAACGTAGAATACTTATAGGCTGGGAAAATAAACAACATATAGAATAGTGTCCACCATGGGTGCAAAGATTGCTAATGCTAATCATTTCATGGTACTCCCCCTCCCCAACATAGACATGCCAGTTTCCTCCAGTATGAATACAGAAAACAAGACATATATGTGCAAAACTATATAATACATACCACATATAGTTTACTTTTTTTCAAAGATATTCATTTATATATATATATATATATATATATATATATATATATATAAACCAAGGACACACGCCTATTGCAATCAAGGGTCTCCAGAATTTCTGAAGACTCACCACTCAAGTCAGTACTTCTTGGTAGACAATGTTCTTAATAAGTTTGCCCTCTTCTCCTTCCTTGTTTGTCTGTTTCCAGCCCCTTAACCCTTACATCTGAAAATTTGTGAGCTCTAGAATATGCCACAATACAATTGCCCATGGCTGAAAACTGGCTGAGGTAAGAACAATCCCACCTTCTCAAATGTCTGCCCCTGTGATTTGTTAAGTCATGGCATATGACAAACACAGGAAACTGTTCTCTCCAAGGTGATGGCAAGTTAGTTGCTTGGAGCCAGCTTTATTCTGGATAGAAATGTTATGAAGAAGCATTATTATTGAGCCAGGTTTTAAACTCAGTTTGTTATCAAGAGACATTCCTGATAGTGTCAAACAGTTTAAAAATTCAAGTGGGTAGTGCTCAGCCTCAGTAGGACCATCTGTCAAAACTTTATCAATACTATAATAGGTGCAGCAGTCATCATTGATCAGGAGGCAGTTTGAGATCTTTGGTAAAAGAATTACTCTTCTTCTCTCTTCTGCAGAAGTATTGTCGAAGATATCCACCAGAGATATCATTGCATGAAATTTGTGGCACTTCTAAGTCATCAACAGCAAGATTAGAATCTTGTGAAGCTGCCGATGTTCCATTGCCAATATGCAAGTCCTACTGCAAATTCCCTTTGATCTGTTGTCATGATGTTTTGGCTTAATCTGTATTGGATGAAAATCAGCCATAGAGGAGAATTTTTAATACCGATTTCAATGAATGCCTCACGATTTCCTCTTGGCAATATGGTTAGGACTTGACTAAAGGCTTCCTCCAAGAGCACAACTTTATCACCAAAATCAATAGCATGAAGAGCAAATGAAGGGATCATAGAAGCCTCATCCAAGATGGTCAAATTCAGGATTTTTAAATTTGCATGGTCTGAAGTGGCTGGTACATTACAAGTGCTGGCCTCCGTGAGTGGGACAGTCAATTTGAACAAACTGGATAGTCTTTCTACCTGACAGTGTAGAGACAATGCCTGTCCAAGCAACATTGCACATGTTGCAGTTCCTTCACAGATATGGTATTAAACATAAGTTTTAACACAACCTCCTGGTGCATCTACATAGAAACAAGAATTTTGGGGTACCTCATCTCTCATCTATAGATTCAAGCACAGCATTTTGCTAATGCTGTGCTTCAGTCTCTGTTTATCAGTAAATGTTGCAATGTCTGGGTGGTCGAGGTTTTCATGATGGTCAAGCTACAGTACTCCTATAGGTTCAGGCAGCCCAATTGCTATACAATTAATGTCATTATCTATCAGAATTGCATCAATTGAGTGTGTGCCATGTTTCTTGCATGGTCTACATTAAAACCTTGGTGCAAGAAATCTTCAATCATTGATTCCTTGTGAGTGATTCACAGGTTAAGAGCATTTGTAGGGTTTATATAAGTGCACAGAGCAGTAAACATAACATGCAACTGTAAGGGCATCTGACAGGTAGCAGCTTTTAGCAATGCATGTTCCAGTTTGTCATCGTTTGAGAGAATACCATATCTCAGACATGCTGCCTTAAATGTTGGCAAGATTTTTCTTTCTACAGTGCGCAAATCCTGTAAGCTCACTGCACCTGAAATATGCAGCAGCAACATTTGCAAATGGAATTGTTCTGTCTCTCTAGGGCTCACTGTATGCATTTTACTGATCTTCATATTCCTTTGCCTTGGTGTCCATCTTCTAGAGCGTTTATTAAACACACAAAGCAGTGGAATGTCAGGGTACAAGTGGTTCCTTATAACATCATGCTCATTCAGTTTAAAGCATGTAGTGGGGGTAGTGTCACGATCACTCTCTCCCTGAGCAACTTGCTGAGTATTGCCTCTGTGAAAGAAAACTCTTTGCTGGTCTTCAAGACATACAGCAAGTCTGTAGACATTGTGAGATGTCATGTAGCTTGAACTCTGACAGTCTCTTTTTGGAGGAGAAACCTATCAGAAAGCAAGAGAATTAGTAATTTCATTGTGAGCTTGATTCTACTCACGATCTGCTGCTGGGTTGTCTCTTACTTCAACAGAATCACTGTCATGTCCCTTGTACACATACTTGAAGATATATTTAATGCTTTTCACTTCTGTTTCATTTCTGTAGTTCTTTGGGAAATTCTCTTGGCATGAGCCATTTCCCATGCAAGGCGAAGAAGGATTATCTGTTCCACAAGGACCATGTATCATGCAAAACAGGGTCATCATTGGAATCTGGGAATTTCGGCTGTTATCCCATCTGTCATTTGTCCTTATTTCTCAACACTAACAGCATGTGGCAATGGGGCAAACCTCTCTTCTGAAACTTGATAACACTGACATGAGCTACTGTCTGTCCTTTATGTCCCTCATAAGTTCTGCAAGGTGTGACTTGTACATTCAGGCAACTAAATTTGGCCTATTTTCAGGTTTCATTTTGCTGTAGATTATCAATTATCTCCGGGCACTTAAGGTTGCAAGTGTAAGCTTACTTATTTTGAAACAATTGACATGGCATCCTGAAAATATTGATGCATATTCCTTGGAATGCCTGTGAATGAGGAAGACAATATTACAGGTACTACTGGTTCAATATTCTAATTTGCTCTTGTGTTCAAATAATCAATCTGTTGTAACTTTCCACTTGCAACTGGGCCTGATTGTTCCTAAGATATTGCAACCTTCAACCTTGACATATGCATCCACAACATACTGTTGAAAAATTTTTTCCAGCTCTGTGAATAACACTAAACCCACCTCTGAATGCAAGATGGTAACTAGTATTCTTGAATTGTTAGACGATTATGCATATGTGACTGGCATAAAACAGAAATTTTATTATGAAATGGGGGTTAAATATAAAACTAATTTGAAAGGAAATTGAAAAATAACATGCAAATTAACAAATAAGAATTTCAAGTAGAAATTTAATAAGAAAGATAAGTTAAAGTAAAAATTATTTTTTTAGAATTAGGTCCTAATTAGTTAAGTGAAACTAAAAATAGAATTAATTGAAGTATGAAACACACACACTGAAATAAAATAAATACATAAGATAAAAATACTTAGTGAAACAGGAATTCAAAAAAGTAAAACTTACTTTAAAATTTTTGAAGGGATGATTTTCAAAGCCTGTTGAGACACAATGAAACACAGAAATGAAATAAACAAATTCCAGTCCTGAAAAGTCAAGTGGGTTTTCCAAGTAATCCAAGGTTTCAAAATGAGTTAAAATAAATTTTTTTTTCTCTCTCTCTCTCTCTCTCTAATTAGGTTCTAATTAGTAAGGGGAAGACAACCCTTAAAACACGTGACCGTTTAACAATACTGTCATTTAGAGGCCACTCTAAAAATTTTCTGAGGCCAATTTAATTTTTCAAAATTTCATGGACTGTTATGTTTCTTTGAAAATTGCCAGCATTTGTTGATGGCAAGAGTGAGGTGGAGTAGGTGAACATGTTCCTTTGAAAATCGCCGCTAGTGAGATGCCAAATACAGGTCAGTACTGAAGAGTATGATGTAAGTAACTAACAGGCACAATTATAAGTTTTTTTTTAAATTTACAGAACGTGCTCTATGGAAGGGATTGGATATTCTCGTTGGAACACCAGGCAGAATTCTTGACCACATTCAGAAAGGAAATGTCAATCTTAAGAAAACAAAGCATGTTGTGTTGGATGAAGTGGACCAAATGTTAGATATGGGATTTGCTGAATCAGTGGATGAAATCTTGAAAGTTGCTTATGAGAAAGATGAGGAAAATAATAAGCCACAGACCCTCTTGTTTTCTGCCACCATGCCCCCATGGGTGTACAAAACAGCTCAAAAATACATGAGTAAAGATGTGAAGAAAGTAGATCTGATTGGGCAGCAACAAGTGAAGACCTCAACAACTGTACAGGTTAGTAGCAAACAGTATGATAGAAAAAGAGTTAAAGGGAATATTGTTGAAATTCTAAATTGATCAGCTCTATCTTAAAATGATATGGGAAGTGGTTAGCTGAAAAATGTCAAGAATATAAACTGTTGAAGACAAAGAATAAACATAGTTCAAATAAATTTCTTGCAGACTTTTATAAAAAAAAAAAATTCAGAAGCTTTCATTTTTAAATTTCTTTCACTTACGCATTTAAAGCCAAGTAGAAATCATTTATCAAATAATGAATGTTAGATTCTTGGTTGTATTTAGTAACATAGGTCTCTTTAGTGTTATCAGTGTTGTAAATGTTTTTAATTCTAAGTACTGTTAATTTTTCCTTACCTATAGTTTTAAGACACTCTTTTTATAAACAGTACTTTAAGTTTTGTGGATGAATTTAGAAGTAATTCAACATTAATCTGCTCTAAACATCTTTTAATACCCCCACTTTTTTATTTTATTTTATTTTTTTTTTAATAACTGTAGCACCTTGCCATTAAGTGTAACTTCCAGGATCGTTATGGTACAATTGCTGACATCATCCAGGTGTATAGCGGAAATCACGGGCGAGCCATTGTTTTTTGTCAGACCAAGAAAGAAGCTGATGAGCTTGCTCTCAGTGCTTCTATGAAGTTAGATGCTCATGTACTACATGGTGACATTCCACAAGACAAGAGAGAACTTGTTCTCAAGGTAAGTTAGAAGTCTTTCAATTTTTCTGTAAATGTGATGTTCTAATTTTTAGATTGTTTATAACTGAAATGGTTTTTCAATTGGATCTACAAAATACATTTAAAAAAAAAAAAAAAAAGCTGAATTCAATGAAAAGCTCAATTTGAATCCTTTTCGTTTTAAACTATCATAACCTAAAAAAAAAAAATTAAGTGTGTAATTATAGCATTTGTAAACGATCAACTATAAATTAAATAGAAGACTTAATGCATATACTTTGTTGGAATTTTGTTAGTACATAGAATTAGTGGAGTTGTTGATTTAGCAGTAAATTAATTTTTTTTTTCCCAGCATGCATTTCAAACTATACTCTTGACTGATCTGTTTAAGTTTTTTGTTTTGGTTTGTTTTTTTTTTTTTTTTTTTTTTTATTATTATTATTATTATTATTATTATTATTTCTTCAGAGGAAATGTTCTGTAAACATTTGTATTTTTTAAGTTAATTTTGTGCTGGTGTTTTTATTTCAGAGTTTCCGTGAGAGCAAATATAAAGTTCTCTTAACTACTGATGTGGCTGCAAGAGGATTAGATATTCCTGAAGTTGATTTGGTTGTGCAATGCAGTCCCCCTAAAGTGAGTTATTTTGTCAATTTTCATTTTAATTGCCCCTTTCAGCAGAACACTTAAACACAGCAAATTATAAAAAATTTAATTTTTTTTTTTTTTTTTTTTTTAATCAATAACTATTATTTTGAAGTAATAAAGTTTTGCGTAATGCTTTGTTTGATGTTAACATGATTGCTATCCATTTAAATGCAGAGGTTAATTTTTCATAAGCACAAAAATATAAAACTGTTAGCTTGTTATTTGAACTGTATTGCTGATATTTAAAAGAACTGCAAAGGTTTTCTTTCAAGGATTAATTATTTTTAATTTTTCTACCCTCATGCATATAGGATGTAGATTCATATATTCATCGTTCAGGTAGAACAGGACGTGCTGGACGATCTGGGACCAGTGTGTTGTTTTATACGCCCCGTCAAGAACAGGACCTCATGTGGGTTGAGCGGAGAGCAGTAAGCATCTTTTTCTTTTTAAAAATGAATAGTGAAAATATGTATATGTATCTAACCCCCCCACACACACACACACACTTCAACAAAACTTATTGGGTTTGCCAAAAGTTATTTTCTGCTTTTATTAGATGTCATTTAATTAACTCTATTCAAAAACATTCCTTTTCAATGTATTATGTCAGTTGTCCTATTCAGTGTGTATATATTTCTTGTAACATTTGGATATACAGGTAAATAACATTTTCAGCATATTGTGTATTTGATGATTTGTAGCTTAAATGGAAGAAACATTATTGAAACTTGTTGTGACCAATGAAATGAATTATTACCAAGGCTGTTCATCATCCAAAGAATGTAATGCAGTGTATATAGTGGGTTTGAAAGGGAATCATCTACTATAAGTTCTTTCCAGAGAACAGCACAATCCCTTTTGAATAAGTACTGTTCTCATTTAGACCAATTAAATTTAGTATTTGACACACATGCACTATTGAAAATAAGTTAAGAAAAAGGAATAAATGTTCCCTCAGAATATTGATAGAGGTTTCTATGGCAAGCCTAAAATTATGGTTTTTGCTCTCTGGTACATTATTTTCATCTTTTCTACAATGAGAAAAAAAAAGAAGCTGTCTGAACAGTTCTTTACTGAGAAAGATAAAATTCTGGGAGGATGGAACTAAAGTAATCTGGAAGCTTGCAGAAGATAAAACAAAATGGTAGATATATTGTTAGTTAGTGGGTAGGAATTTAACTGAACTATTTTTGCCAATTCAGTAAAAATGATTGATTTTGCTTCATTAAACATAAATAGCCAGTGTGAGTTTCTTGTATTTATTTTTTTTATTTTTATTTTTTTTTTTTTTTTTTTTTTTTTTTATAGGGTGTTTCCTTCAAGAGAATTGGTGCTCCAACCACGTATGATATTATAAAAACATATGCCAAAGATGCTGCTAGGTAATCAACTTTTTCTTTCAATTTTGAAAGTCATTTCAGCAACTCTTTTAATGATTTTTTTTTTTTTTTTTTCTTTTTTCTTTTCCTCTTTTTCTTTTTCTTTTATACTAAAGTTCACTTTATATTTATTGAAATTTTAGATCGTTAGATAATGTTCCTGATGAAACCCTTGAATTCTTCCGGGAATCTGCTACAACTCTGATTGAAGAGCGAGGAGCAGAAAATGCTTTAGCTGCTGCATTGGCTGTTATCTCTAAAAGCACAAAGATAATTTCACGATCTTTATTGAGCTCAAAAGAGGTGAGTCTAGCATTTATTGTAAATAACTTTTTAAAATTTAAGTTTTTGTAGTTATGTAATTTTATTTATAAATCCCTCAGAATATTATTTGAAATGAAACTGTATTGCTAATTTATTAAAAAAAAAAAAAAAAAGACCTACACTTAATGAAATAAGTTATTCTTGTTTCCTTATCTGTGAATTATGTAATCAAATCTGATAATCTTATTGTCAATTTAAATAGTCTATACATGTGCATGAATTTGTCATAATCCAGGTCTTTTTTTTTTATTATTATTATAATAATGTAGATATTAAATAGCTCAGACAGTTGTAATAGTGTCTGAATTGTAATTGTTTGAAACTTGATGCTAATTGAGCTTGGTGTAAATATTCAGTATATTATACTTTTTATGCTTTATGCTTACTGTCACCAGTGACATTATGCATGTAATTTCTTTATAGCAGGTCAGTTTGTATTAGGTAACAGTAAAATATTTGACATTATGATTTAATTGAAAATTTTGATGTGGCTTTCACTTTTCTTTTTTTTTTTTTTCTTCTGCAGGGATATGTATCTTATCTGTTTAAAACCAATATAGAAATACGATCCCCAGGTTACATGCTTAAAGCTATAGAAAGACAGGTTCCTGAAATATCGTCAAAGGTTGGGCAGATACGCTTGACAAAAGATCGAAGAGTACGTAATGGTTTTTGCCTAAATTTTTTTTTTTTTTCCTGTAATCTTATTTGATCTTTTTTTTTTTTTTTTGTTTTATGATAAAAAATTCAGATTTATTAGATTTTTAACACTTTCACTGCTACTCATTTGCCCAGTGCTGTCCCCATTTGACCAGCCATTTTTAAAGAAAATGCCAAATTTCAACCTACATATTTTATTACACAGAAAACTGGCACCAGTGTGTTTTACAGCCTTCCATTTTCATGGATATACCTGGGAATGACTTACCAGATCAGTAATGGGTATACACATATATCTTTTGAAGAATTGTCCTTTGTGATTTTACAATAGATGGCGCAACGGGCCACTCATACCAGCGGTATGCAAAAAATGGAGGTTTCCGTGCTTAGCCAGCTGGAGCAAGATAAGAAAAACGAAGATCTCCATAGTTAGCAGCGGAAGTGTTAAGTTTAGACGGTTACCTAATCAGCTTGACTGATAGGGACGTGGATTTGTATGTTGAATCTTTAAACTAATTCAGCCTTTTATATTATGTAACCTCAGTAATTAGCTCTTACATGTATTTCTAAGACTATAAACATTCCTGGAGCCGAGCCACAAGCTTAAACATGCTCTGTTTACTAGCAGCAGCAGGAGCCTTTCTCTCCTTGACTGGTATGTCATTGCCATGCAAACAAAATCCGAGTGATTAGTGTAAACAATATGTGGCGCCAGTATGGTGAGTGTTGTTGTATGAGAACGACTTGTCTTGTTTTCCTTAGAAATTACTTTCCAATACTGAAAACTGAAAAATATGGTAATCCTTATTCTCTTCTGGCCTAGAATATTTTTTTTGATTTGCAACTCTTTAATAGTACGTGTTTTATGAAGTGGCTCTTCAATGAAGGAAACCTTTTGGCTTGCATTGGACATAAATTATACAGGAAGTTTTCAAATTTGTCAAATAGTTTATCTGTTTGTAAAACCCTTAATTGAGAATATTGTGATAATATGCCCCCAACCACCTTATTCTTTTTCCTTGGATCAAATTAAATTTGTACATGGGTTCAATGCACCCACCCCTCTCTTATTTTCAAGAAGGGCAGTACAATAAGTTTTAGATATGTCCATCTTTCCTACAAGACAGGTGCTTGTTTTGGGGTTTTTCCTTCTCTTAAGTTTTGGGAGTTATTATTATATTCCTTCTCTTAGTCATATTTTGAATTTTTCTTCTTTTCAGGGTGGTGTGCTTGATATTCCAAGTAATCTGACTCAAATTATGGACATGAAGTGGTTAGATACAAAATACGAATCACTTGAAAAAGCAACAGAATTGCCTGAATTAATGGATGAAAATCCTCCAATGAGGAATGACAGACGTGGCTATGGCAATACTGCTGGCAGCAGTGGCCGTGGAGGCTGGGGTCGTGACCGGAACTCAAGAGGAGGATTTAGCAGGGGTGGTGGTGGAGGGATGCGTAGGCCTGATAATGGTTGGCGAAATGGTAATAGATTTGATTCAAATCATGGCCCCTCACCCAACAAACGTTTTAGATTTGACTAACACAAATTTTCATGCCATTTATATTGGAGTCGGGATTGTTCTGGAACTTTGTTCAAGGAAGGGAACTACTGGTTGACCATTTTTCCTTTTCTTTTCAGGGTTTTAGTAACCCTCTGCACAACATCCAGGCATCCTCCCTGTCTCAGAACCTGTAATATAAACACCATGAACACATCTAATGTTTTGTTTGTTGTTTGTCTCCCACTCACCTACTAAACTATTTGAAATGATTCCATTAGCAGCATCACTTTTAATGAGGCTCCCTATTTAAAACAATGACAAAACAAAAACAACAAAAATTAGCTATGTTGAATTAAAACCTGGATTTTTGGATGTTGCATTTGCTGGTATTTTCTCCTCTTTTAAGGTAATTAACTTTATTACAACTTTTAGAGATTGAAAATATTATTTTTAATTTTCAATATCTTTTTGTTTAAGAAAAAGATTTTTAGTACCTACGTATTTCTCCTCTTTACTACTTTGTCACAAAAAGGTAAATAGTAAGGGTTATTTGCTGATATTCTAACAATTTTAAGCTGTGTTAAAAACATTTTAAACAGCTGTCATTTTTGCTTTTGTTAGTAAATCTAGCTTGATCATTCTTAATTTGTACACGATTCCCCCCCCCCTACAGAATCTGCAAAATAGTTGGTTTTACTTTTGTTTCAAAAATATATATGCTTGTACTTGGATATGCTTATAAATATAATTCATAAAGTTTACAGGCTGTATTTTTAGGATCTGTATTAAAAAGAAATCCAATACAATATTTTCTATGCTACATAAAATATTCCTAGCATATAGAACAAATGGAGATTAATTAATTCATGTGTTCACAAAGTACAACCTTAAATTTTTATGATTGAAATCATAATACTTAATTCAAATTGATCAATAATATCCTTAGAAAATAGGTAACAATCAATGCAGATAGTGGGGGAATATTTATTTTCCTTGTTAACTAGAAATCATTATCATTCTGAAGTTTGGTTGATCTGAAATGACGGCTTAAGAGGCCATCTGAATCAAAGATAAATATGGAGTCGTGTAATTTGGCTACAGAGCACAAGTTCTCAAATCCCTAAAATCCCCTTATTTACAACACTTTTTCAAACTGATAACATAGCTTACCCTTTGTGTATTAAACTTTTATATCCTTGATAACTATCTTTTCAATTGTATGCATTTTTTTGTCAACAGTTTGGGAGTTATAATTGACTAAGATAGAAAGATTACTATTAATAACACTCAAATTATAAAATGTGCTGAATAATGCCTTCAATGAAAATTTAGGAGAAATGCTTTATATATAAAGGTTATGTGCCAAAGAATTTTTCTTTGAATTTAACCAAATCCACTTCTATCCTTATTTACTACCATTCACAGTTCATGAAAACAACTAGTTCCAATCTGAAAACCATAAGCAAGAAATTATTTTTTTTCTTTACCAATTTAAGTTTTTAATAAATTGCATATAAACATTACATTAATTTTAGTAATTTTGAGGGAAAAAAAAACTCTTTTTAAATTTTTGCAAGATTTAAATATTAAATGTAACTTTAAATTGTTTTTATTTCTGTGTTGCCCAACAGGACCCCTAATGCTCTACAAAGGTAACTACTTCTTTTAACATAAGAGCTGAAAATTCTTTCTGTATCCAACATTGAAAAAGAGACATATCTCCAGAAACAAGTTTCCTTTTCCTTGGCAATTGCACTTAACAAAGGCTGAAGACTGGATTAGCTAAAATGTGTTAACACTAAATATGCAATATGGATATGGGGATAGCCATGTAGAAAATTTGTGGTTGTTTATAAAATAATTTTTCTTTGTAAAAAGAATTAAAATGCTAAAAGCATAATAGATGAAATTAAGTTTATATGCGTATATATTTTTGTTTTTTAACTTGTATGTAATTAAATATTAATCCTTCAATATCAAAATAGGTAATATAAATCAGGGTTGGCAGTGGGTTTTAAACCTCAAAATGTCCAAATACAATGTATGAAAACGTACATGTCAACTTAGAAAACATTGGAAGTACTTCTGCTCAAATTATCAGAAAAATGAATTAATCCCCATGCATCAGTTTATGCTACATAGTAAATATGTGTGACTTAAATTTATTTTAGTTTGAAACAAGGCCATTAATGTGTGTTAGTAAGGATATCAAGTAATAATTTACTATCTCTTAGCCTTAATTTATCTCTTATATTTTTAGTGTTGGAAATGTCATTAAAAAAAAAAAAAAAAAAAAATCTTCAGCTGTACTTACAAGATGGATAACGAGTTATGGTACTGTTATTATGGCTTGCAATGTTAATCATTTAGAGAGGAAAAAAAACTAGATATGAATCAAATAGTTTTAAGTATTTACTTAGTTCCTTTCAAATTTTTAATTTTGTATGCCAGATCAGTAGCTTTTGTGTGCAGACATTGATTAAAAAAAAAAAAACTAATTTATCAAATTCTTGCACCTTATTAAATGAATTGGGTATATTAAGATGATCTGTTTTCAGTTATATTGGAATTACACTATATTATTTAATATATACATCCCATATTCTCTTATGGACATGCTAATAGGTTTCTTGTTTTTTTTCTATCAATTTTGTAGATTTTCTGACCTCAACTAAACTTAGCTTGTTACAGCACAAGTATTTAAATCTGGTGCATCCATTGAGGATTGAACATGGTTTCATGGCAAGATAACTGATACCTCTTCCAACATCTTTTTGTTATAAATAAAAATGACTTGCATAGTGTACTTTCAAAGCAGTAAATTCTAGGCTTTACAAACTTAGTTTAGCAATCAGATAATCATTTCTGAATATTAAATGTGACTGGATACTCACCAAACTATAATTAAAATTAAATACAACTTCTGTTTTGCAAAGCAGATTTTCTTTTACACATCTGATAATTAATTTGTGTTAACATAAAAATCACATGATCATTGGGTTTGTCACTTAATCTTATTTTGTACTGTAGGAAGTTAAGTGTACTGAACACTGGGGTAAGTAGATATTGCTTAGAATGAGAATAAATTGTTCCTTTATATAAATAGATAGCTAAGGGACAATTCAGATATTCAGGTGAAGGATCTTGCATCTCAAAACAGTTTGTCATGTTTTGTTGTAAGATAAATATTAACAGCATATCTTGACCTGAATGGCAATGCATAATTAAAAAAAATAAAATAACCGATATGAAATGGTCAAATTATATATAAGATGAAATATGTGAAAATTCATTTAGATGTTAAAATATTTTGTTTTTAGTTCTAATGATGCTCCTACTGAAGGAAACATTAACAGAAAATTTGAGACATCTAACTGGGTTTTGCATATTCCATCTTATATGCATGCATACACACACACACACAATTGTTTTTTATTGTCTTTATTACTGAAACCACAACTTCCAAGTACATGAGAACAGTTTGTCAGTCTTCATAAGTTTCACGTAAAAAAAAAAAATGTTGGTTGTCATACATATACTTCAATAGTAGTGTACTTGTATAGACTAACAATTTGCATTTTCTTAACATTTAAAGTGATGATGTGAAAAGAAAATACATTTCACCGAGGTAAATCAATTTCATGCTGTTTTCTGCGCTGAATTTATCTTTCTTTGTTGTCGGTTTTTGTAGATTTTTTATTTACAGAGTGGGGTTGGAAAATTATTCCAATTTAAAGGGGGAAGAAAACAAAACAGTCTTGTATATAAAATCTTCATGTAGAAGATACTCAGAGAGCATGGATAGTAACCTCTTCAGCATATGGCATGTATGTCTGGAAAGAAAAAAAAATAAAATTAATAAAACTTAAATCTGTTAACATTAGGCAAACTAAAGAAAAATAACCATAACATTAGTATTTGTATTGGCATAATTTTACTTATAAATTCAAAAAAATTTTATCAAATGAATTTAAATTTCGTACATAGGTAAAAATTAATGAAATCTTGATTGCTTAATGTTAATTTTTAACTCAATAAAAAAACAAAACAAAAAAAAACAATATTTGAACTTGCCAGTTACTTAAATATCCCAAGGTGAAAAAATATAACTTACATCATCTAAAAATATCTCTGTGTGCATTTCTTCTACTGTGAAAGAATTTTCAATTTGTTCAAAATATTCCTGGGCTGAGATTTCCTTTGAGGCTAAAACAAACATGATATATGTGTAAGTAAAATATATTATAAAAAGATGACAAGTTTTAAGAAAATAAACAAATTAAATCAAATAGTTTACTAATCAGTCTTTTGCTAGTGTGTAAGTAGCAAGAAGATGAGAAGACCACAAAACTTACCAGTGCCATTTTGTATTGAATAAAATCCACCATTGGGAAAGGCTGCAAAGGAGAGAAAATAAAAAAAATAATATGCTGGAAAATAGTTACAATTTTTTTTTTTTCCTTTTCCATCAAATTGCCTGTTCAGAAATACAATCAATTTTGTAAAACTAGATTAAAGCGAAATGTTTACATTGAAACTCATTTGTTTCTTCAAAAATTGTAGTGATCTTTATAGATTTTTTTTCTTTCCTTTAATATTTCCTGTTTATTATAACTATTGTTGATCACTTATTTTTACCCAGTGCTTTATAAATGTCTAATCCAGTCTAACATATTCAGCCTCTGGAGTTCAGCATTATGTACCTATTTATATAAGAATCAATGAAATGATGGTTTAACTTTTGATATAACTTAGGTATCTGTATTGTAATAACAATCCTGACTTAGGGTTATTATTATTTTTTTTTTTTTTACTTAATGGTTAGTTTTGTATCTCTGTAAGAATTCAGACTATGAATTTGTTGCTCATTATTCTATCTATATCACAAGATAGTCATAAAAATTAGTAAATCAAATTTAGTCTTCAGATTTAAACTATGCAAAATGAAAATGAACCTTTATACCATAAAATCTACAAACTTGGCATTAAAAAGATGTCCATAAGACTTGTGTGAAATAAATTTTTAAGAGCAAATTCATATTTGCTAAAGTTTGCAGTACTTTCAAAGTGACTTGAATCCTACTTGTGCATATTTTTTAAGATATTTGAATTCTATTTTTTCTCAAAAAGCTTGCTTGACTCTTATTGGTTTCACTTCCCAGTGACTAAAAAATCTATTAGTGAGTTGATATAAGTTTAAGGCTAGTGGGATAACTGATTAAAATAAAATGAGTATTTATAAAAAATGCTGCTCACCTGTTCTTAAAGAGTCTCCAAAGAGCTCTTCTAGTCTAGGAATTCCTTCATTTAAACTTGAGTCTGAGTCATTTGGTATCAGCCTTTCTTCTGATGTAAATGAATCTTTTGACTAAATAGAGAAACAGAACATTGGTTAGCAACATTGTCTTGGGGGGGATCATAACTTAAGTTTGGTTTCTGTGTGATATTAAGTTTTCTTGTCAATAAAACTAATTAGTAAAATTAAGAGATTATACATATATATATATATATATATATATATATATATATATATATATATATATATATATATTCTAAAATTTGATTAATAAATCAACATTTTTGGAATTGTCTTATAGCTGTAAGGATAAACAGCTTCTATTTTAATATTAGGTCTTTGTTGATTTTGATGATTGGTTATAATTGTGTTGTGTGTACATGATTAAGTAAAAATGTGTTCAGAAGTATACGCTTAACCTACAAAATAGCTTAAGTTCCAAAAATCCTTGTTTTTAGTTTGTGTAGCATCTTATAAGACAAGCAACTAAAACTTGAATACAATGAAATATCAACAGGTAGAAGAGCAAGGATACTGACTTCATGAATAAACTAATGTAAAATGTATTAATAGGTTGCCAGATATATCATGAAGAGGGTGGTGGGTACACTTATTCTATCCTAAGTTTCATTTAATTTTTAGCAGTAAAGATTGTTCTCAATTTGAAGCTGGAACAAAAGTGACACAAATGATATAAAAATTTCTCTATTCCTTGTCAAGAGAATCTTTGCAAAGGAAAGGTGTCTTATAAAGTAAAACTAGCAACTGCTCTCAAAAGGAATCTCCAATCGGTTGGTGCAAGAAAAGGCTTGCCTCTAAAACAAAACTGCTTTCTTCTAGTCACCACAGAGAACCTTTTCTGCCTACCATCAGCATGACTGATGCTAAGCTCCCGGAGAGCAACACTAATCCCAAGAAGGCACAAAGTGGAGTGATCATATTGAGCTTAGTCCACTGCTAGGAAAGTTTCTTCACTATATTGGGCCAAACAATTCTTATTGTCAGAACCAATCTTGCACATTTATAAATCTACCATTTGTCTGTATATTGAATAATGCCATATCTGGTCTGGTGCTCCTAATATATATATATATATATATATATATATATATATATATATATATATATATATATATATATATATGATTCTTGACAAAATTCAAAGAGCCTTTAGTGTAATTGACCCTGACCTGGCATCTTGATTTCAGTCACTTTCTTACTGTCATGACATGGCATCTCACTATCTTTACTACAAATTTTTTTTCATGGCATCTGTTCTGATGACATTTTCTCCTTGACTGCATGAATTTAAACATGCTACTAGCTAGAAGCAAATGTCTCTTCTATTCTAATAGTCTCTTTTCTCATCTGTGGAACTCCCTTAAGATTTCTTGCTTCTCTGCCACCTAGAATTTTCAAAAATTAAAATTCAATGTCAGTTGCCATCTTCAGTTTTCATGTAACCTGTTCCATTGTCCTTTTCCTTAGTAAGATCTTCTCATTCTTTTCCACACCCTGTAAACCTCTGCATTCTAGTGGCATGTATCACATTGTTTAGGATGAAATGATTTTAAAAAAATGCAACAATATAAGATTAAAAGTAGTTAATGTATCTAAGTATTTCTGTCCTCAACAAAATAATTGCTGAGTAAAGTTGCAATTAGAATCTCTTAGAACTGATTGCAGTTAAATATTTTCATTGTTTTATAAGCAGTGAGAGAATTCTCGTTTTGGCTTTCCGGATCAGTGTTTGAAGATGATTTATTGAAAAAACAATTGGCCAATCAGATCCAAGTGACAGCATTCAAGAGAAGATAACTCAAATTCTAAAATGTTTGCTCACAGTTTAACAAAAGCATATACCAACACTCACAATTTGTTCATCATTGTCTTCTTTTTTCCGAATTTTTCGCATTTTTCTCTTTTCTGTAAAAAAACAAAAAAACAATTGAAATCCAGTTTAATGCACATTATCTCAAACTCTTAATAAGCCTAATCTTAAATTCCAGCTACTGTAATTTTAAGTCTTGCAAACAGTTGACATTACTTTGGCTCTTCTATAAAATTGAGATTTTTTAATCATAATAATTGCATGGACCCCCTGAAATCTTAAAATTCCAACAGATATACATTTGCATGCATTTTGTTCATACATTTCTTTATACAACAAAGCTGATACCAAGCTTTTTCTAATATCAAGTTGTTTTCCTATTTCATATAAAATATTATTTAAATGTATGCATATGTTTAAAACACTCATTATTTTCATCATCACACAGTACTTGTGAAACTGGTTTCACAAATCACTGATACATTTCATTTGTTTCTAGAAATATAGTATAGTATGAGATTTTAATTATATATATATATATATATATATGAATTAAAAAAGAAAATGGCATTAGTAGAATGAGATATAAAGAGAAACAGGGGAAAATTGCAATCAGTGCATGGAGAAACTGCAAATTATAAAAAGAATGAAATAATCTTGAACTGTTGGCATGTTGATACATTCCTTTCGAAAAATTTGAAGAATGTTATTAAAAAAACTCAGCCATAAATAGGTAAATTAATTTTTTTTTTTTTTTGTGAGGGAGAAAGATAAAAATTCAAAATAAAACTGCCAAAAATAAAATTTAAAATTGGATTAAAACTTGCAGAAAGTATTGTAAAAAGAGAAATTCCTGTTAATTGCTGTTGTCTTGAGTAAATTAAAAACTTTGTATCTTTGGAAAGCATAAATAAGTTTGCAACTCAAAAATACCATTTGTCTCCCTTTACCCAAAGTGATACACAAAGGGGCTAGAGATCAAAAGACTCATTAATAACAGAAACTACATGCCAGCTTCTCTCTAAATCAGTATACTTGTATTTTGTGTAAACAGGGTGTAATAAAATTTACTAAAAATGTACTATGTCAAACATGTCCATTTCTACAAACATTTCAAATAATGACTGTTTACTATGAAAATACACATCTGCAGCAAATCAACTTACACCTTTCCAAAAAAGAAAAAACTTGTAAAAATAAAAAGTAAATAAATTACAGTTTTAAATTTTTACCACCATTATTGGAGTTTATTTACTACATTTAATTTGCCTGCCTATATATATAATTTTCTAATAAATCAAATTTAACTCTACTATTCAAATAGATGCCATTTAGGGAATAAAATAAATGTTATGGTATGTAAACAAATACCTTTTCAATAAATTGGCTACAATGTCTGTAACTACAAAATTGTGAATTGGTATAATTTATTTTACTTACATTTTTTTTGTGTTGCCAAGAAGCTATTGGCCTGAGACAATTTACAGCACTGGTACCAGGATTTTGAATGCTGATTTTCAAACTGATAAACTCTCCCCTAATTCTTGCTGCCATTTTCTTGTGCAGTACTAAACTAAATAAAACACAGGAAGTATTTTATATCCAAAAGGAAGTTAAATAAATTTTCTGGATTTGTTGATGCACAGGTCAGAATCATTTTTTTTTCTTCTTCCTGTGTACTGTAAACCTACTTTTACTGGACTGTATACTTGGGATTCTTTTTGTCCTAAGCAATAAAAATTGAATCTGATTAATACTTTGATTCAATGTTTCATAATTGTTTTAAGACAAAATTAAATTCTGAAATTGAATTTATTATCAAGGTTTATTTGAAATACCCTTTTGATATTCTGCAATTTAGCATTTGTGCTAAAATTGTACAATTTAATAAACCAAAATTTTATGGTCATGGAAAGTGTCCTGTTTGTGATTACCTTGGATTGGTGACGTTAGCACAAGATTTGCCAGGTAAATCTCTTAAAGTGTGCAACATTGTTATTTTTCTGCCAGTTTGTTTTCATGTTGAAATCCATTCATAAAGATGTTCTGCCTCCCCTACTACATCATGTTTGGTGATGTATAACTAAATATCAGTGTGATGCTGAATATATAAGCAAAGATTGAAAGTGGGAATTGATCAGTACATAACCAGCTAAAATCTGTAAAGGTCAATAGAAGGAATTTAAATACACTTGTCAATGCATTCAAGTCTGCAAATACAGAATGCTTAATAAATAATCTTATTTCTGACTTATCTTTTGCTGGAGTTTTTTTATCAGTCATCAGCAGAACACATTCAGATTATGATTTGAGAGTGCTCAAAACCCTGTATATTAAATCTAGGCAACCACTCCTCTGTAAGCAGAAGGGATGGTTGCTGGGTTTAATATAATCTGTTTTTGACTTAGTGCTGATTCTCTGGTAATAAATCAGAAATTTCATTAAACTTCTTTTTGGATAACAGGTTTTTATGCTTTGTTGGAATTTTGTTAGTACATATAATTAGTGGAGTTGTTGACTTAGCAGTAAATTATATTTAAATATTTTTCCCCAACATGCATTTCAAGCGATACTGTTGACAAGTTTAAGTTGATATATATATTTTTTTTTTTTTTTTTTTTTTTTTTTTTAGAAGTAAAACTATTTCAGCTGAAAGTGGTGCAGTGAAGCCTTAGGTTGATTTATACTCCACCCCAGAGCCATTAATAAAGAATATCTACTTACCACATTCATTGAATCTGTATATTTTAAATGCGTCATGTCCACTTTTCTGACTTTTCTCTACAATTTCTTCACAATCTGGCAAACTGTTGATAGCACATCTGAATGTAGCTTTATATTTTTTTGTATTTGGGATTCTATCTTTATTAGGATTGTATTTTCCTGGAACAAAGCAGAAAAATGCAGACATGACCAATCATTAGCCTTTTTATTTTATTTTTTTTTAAATTTATAGGGAAAAACTTAATATAGCTGGCTAATTATTCCTGGTCTGGCTGTTCACAAATATTTTCTAAGACAAATACACAGACCAAGAATGGTAATAAAGAAGTAGGTCTAGCAGTTAAGTTGAAAAATGTAATCTGAAATTTAAGATTATTCTCTCAGAGAACATCTTTTTTTCTTTACAATAAATATAGGAACTCAAATACAACATACTGTAATCTTACATACCCTTAGGTGTTTAATAAAAGGTGGAGATTTTTCTCAAACAGAAACTGGTGGTGACAGGGATCAGAAAATCATTTACAGTGTCAAAAATTTTGAATTTAACTAAAAAAAAAGGTCCACACCCACCACCACTCCCAGGACTTCTTGCATTTCCTGATATTAGCATGTGAAAAAGCCCTGATAAAACTTAATTAGTAGTATTGGGGGGGGGGGGAAGGCTTGCATAAATTAAATGTTGACATGGTAATTCTGAAAATAATAAAAAAAATATTGAAATGCTATTTTTTAAACAGTGCAACGAAATAGAATCTCTGACTAGGCATCACATAAAAATATGCAAATAAAAAACTTGAGCCAAGTGTAATGATTACTGCTTACTGTTTGAGCATTGGTGTGGAAAGTAATAAACAATGTGGTCTTAAAAAGCTCAAGGGAGAAGCTTGGAAAATTTCCTCAAAAATAAATGTTTCCCCATCACTTTTATTGGACACCTTATGTGACACTATGGTTGGGACACCCACATAGAAGAAAATGTGATCTTATCTTGATCTCAGATGTTTGTTTTATAGTCAGTGGATGGGTTCTTTGAAATTTTCTAATTGGTATTCACTTTGACCAAAGGGGAACAGAAGAGTGAATGGAGGCTTTTGGAGACCAAGCAACAACAAACTGAATCTCGATTAGTTCCAGTTGTTGATCAATATTAACAGTCATGTTTGAACCAGTTTTGGCTCACCTTTGGATTGAGCTTTGTGTAGTTCCAATGCTACCTGTTTGTATTGACAGCCACATGGATGGAAGAGCTGAATTGTTATACTGATATGGTAGAAGTTGTTTTCAGCTTTTACTTACCCTACCAACCCAGACTGAGCAAGTAAAATCCTGAATAAAAAAACATTTTATATTTTTCACCTATTGTTACTTTGTGAATCTGTGATGGACTTTTCCCAATTTTTAGTGCACATTGAGATAAACAAGAAGTGAAATGGAATATTGCCCGGTTGGTGAAAATCTAGATGAGGGTTATGTATGTTTCATTTGAAATAAAATATCTCAATAAAAAAAAAAAATCACACTTCTAAGATTTAGCAAAATATAATATTAAAAATAAATGTATAACATTACCAAAAACATGACAAATATTAGAACAAACAGAAATTGTATTTCTTCTTTACATGTTAATATATTTAGCTCAATGGTTGAGCATGGGATTATAAGCTACAAAGTATGAATTTTCATTTTTCATGCTGACATGACAAATTCAGATTTCGCTATCCATTTCTTTCTCCTTTATTCAATTATGAAAACTCAATCACATAAGTAGTACCCAATGCCTAGAGCACATGATGTGAGTTTCACTTTTGGAAAGGGATATTGCTTATATTCAGCTGCTCTTTTTCATCATGGTGTGTCAGGCAAAATGTGTGGTGATCAATGTTGCATTTGTGTAAATGACAAGCATTCTTAGTCAATGGTTCACAGATCCTGCTTGCCAAGTTGATAATTGTCACACCATTTTTTGCTTCTGTATATGAAATATACAGGCTATTTTCCATGAATTCTTATAGAGTAATTCTCTATTGAATATGTTAAGTCATCAGCTGAAAAAAGTAGTTTGTCAGCCTCAGAATATTTTTTTACGTTTTTTTAAAACAAGTATCAAACTAAATCAATATAAATATATGCAAAATTAACTCTTTAATCAAATTATTAACAGTAATCTTCATTTTTATTGTAGGGTAAATACAGTATAAGTTTATTTTTCCACTTAAATAAAAAAATATTTATTTTTTATGTTGGGTAGAGTGCAGAAATGAATTTCCACTTAAAAAAAGAAATTCACAATTCTAAAATTACTTGAAGCTTTACTGAATTATAGCATTGTTTTTCATTTACATTAGTAAAAGCAAATACTGAAACAATAGAATAAAGATTTTAATTTTTGACTGATGTCCACTGAACTGTCTATTTTCAGTTTAAAAATTTTAAATAAAGGAGTATATGTAAGTGAGGATATACAATGATTATATAAGAAAACTTGCAATTAAAAGGAAAGTTTTTTTTCAGTGTTTTTGTATTCAGAACTATTTCTTCTCTATAATTTGATTCTTCTTAGTACATGTTAATATAGCAGTGGAAATGAAAACCTCTCTGATTCCTCTTAGTAGGTGTCAATGTAGCAGCAGAAATAACACTTTTAAATCATTTCAATGCTAGATACTTAAGAAAAAAAATCTAGAAATGATTAATTTCCCCCAAATAAAATTTGTTTTGCTGACTGAAGCTTATGTTTTCAATTGATTTAGGAATCAGCTTTATTTTTCTTGCCCAACATTCTCATTAATATTATTTTTATAAAAAGGAATTAGTAAAAGTATAAGCAATCCACAAAAAATAATAGGGAGAAATATTTTGGCTTTATTTTATTTTAATCTTCTTTTCGCAATTTTAGAAGATCAAAAATTGGGATGCATCCTTTATGGTGTAGTAGCTTGCTTTTCACACTTGTTAAAATGATTACTTTCAAGAGGCATTGGTCATAAAAAAAGTGTTACATACCTCTGTGTTGAGCCCATAGAATAAACAAATCTGCATCTGCCTGTCTCCAATTATGACGAGATCCATGTTTCCAGGGAATTCGGAAAATCTTTTCAGCTTTGTTAATCCATACTAGTCCAGGAATTGTACCATTTTCAATAAGGTCAGTTAACCAAGGACGCATCCGTTGTTTAGGCATTTTATGGCAAAGGTTACGACGACGTTGAGTAGTCATTCTGCAGAAATGAAAGCAAATATTACCAGAACAATTAAGAATTTCCTAATATTATCTGTTGATTTCTTTGGACTAACATTCTCACTTGCTATTAATCATCGTTTATTCAATTAATGAGTTGGACTGGCATTTTTTACTGAAGCACATCTCTGCAAGAAATAATCATTTTTTTCCAAAATTTCTTTATCAATTATGAATACATAAATGTTTCTTTCTTTCTTTTTTCTTTTTTAAATTTCAGTTCGCTATGTAAATTCATTGTAAATTATCCAAGACCCTCCCCCCCCCCCGACCCCGAAATAATGTAAGGGAAATAATTAAAAATAATAATAAAGGGAAAGATCAAGTAAGGATATATTAAATTCATATTTCATGGACATTTTGAAATTATCTGGTAAGCATTATTTTAACATGACAGGAAAAACGCAACTAAGAATATATTTTAAATAACAAATATTATTTCTTTATATTTATTATAATCATATATATTCAATCATTGAAATCACTCCTTTAACTGGGAAGGCACACTGGCTAAAGAAATAGTTTCCCCTGATGGAAAAAGTGAATACAGGTTCAATTCCTGTTGGGAGACACTTTCCTTTTTCTTTTTTTTTTTTAAGTAAGGAATTCTCAATATCTTGGCTGATTGACATTTTCCTGTTTAAAATACCAGGGATGTCAACTCAAACACATACCCACTAAAAATAACATTTATAGTAATAACATACATTATGTCAGATTATGCAAGTCATTGTTTTTTACAATAAAATTAGTATGAATCACCCAGTGTTGGTTAAATTTTCCAGATATATTCATGTGAGCTGATATTTATCTTTAATGAAAATACTTGTAACTTTTTGGAGGAGTATCAGTTTTATTATGCAAATGAAGTGTAACATAAAGGTTTATTTATAAATAAATTGAAAATCTAGAAACATATTTGATTGACATAATATTTCATATACCTGTCTGCTTGTTTCTGAATACACTGGTCTGTTAGGATGGCTCCTTAATCTCTGTTGCAGGCACCTTTTCAAGGTAATCTGGCAAGAATAAATTCTGAAACAATAAAATGGAGATTTTAATTTTTGTCTGATATAAATAAACATGATGTACAGTGTTTAAATGAGAAAACTTGCAAATCAGCATTTATTAAAGGAAAAGTTCTCAACCTAACCAAGCAGTGATTAAAAGAAAAATCTGTTGTTTGATTAGATTTTGGGAAGTGTTTATAACCCAAAATTTTTCAGTACCTCCTCATAGTGGTCCAATACACTTGATAAATCATAGCTTTGTCTTGGATTTAATAAATTGTCAACTTTAGCTGCATATTGTGTTCTTCTAAGATCATTTCTCCCAGTCAGTATAATTCAGAGGAACAGGCCTCCACCAACAACTCCATAAGTGTTATAAAATAAGGCTAACTCATTAAACCCATGAGATCAATGCAGATGTTCCACAGGGCTCTTATTTCATTGTACAATATGAGTCCAAAGTAATTTAAAATTGTAATTCATTTGTAACTAAGGAGTTGTAATTTGGTGAATTTACAATCTTCAATGTGAATCAGTGTAGATTTATTTTCTTACACTAATGAACAACAATGAACTTAATAATTTTCTTTAATTTTTGTTGCAAGAAAAAGAATCCTTGTTGATTCCCTGTTATCCTGGTCACCTCTGGAAATGACCCTTAAATATTAGATTTTTTCTTGAATCTTTAGGCAGTCACATATTTTTTTTTGACAGATGAACCTTTTACCAGTGTATTTCTGAATAATAACACTTTCAACTCATGCTTTGAAAAAACATTTTCTGTGCAACACACAAAGACTCTACCCAACACCCATTAATTAAAAGACATTCAATTCAATTTACAGAGAATTTGTTTATGAATTAAAAGTAAGACCCTTCCTCCATCAATATGAAAAAAAAAAAAAATCATTGTCTAGGTTCCCACTCCATAAACAATTTCCAGAAAGCTTGATGGATGACATGTAACCAAGAGATCTTTTAGCTTTCTACAGTAGGAATGTCCAAAGTTTGGCCTGGGGGCCAATTACAGCCTGCGGTCAAATTTCATATGCCCACGTCCTCATAGAATGTATCTCTTATGGCCTACCAATATGCAAAGTATACATCTAAAAAATGCAATTTCATGTTTTACCAAAAGATGGCAGCAGCACTTTCTGGTCTTTTTCAGCCAATTTCTGAAATCATTGCCTTTGAACCAGACTACTGCAGTCCAGATCTTAGTATCACCCTTCATATTAGTGCAGGCAAGTTATTTGTTTTGGTCATAAATAAATTCTAAAATTTTAGTGTATTAAATTTGCTTTGTGCTAGTCGAAATTGGTTATAAATATATTTAGACACTTGGACTTGTGTCACTTTATGTTTTCTACTTCTTGTTATGGGATCTTACACATAATAATAATAATAATAATGGACTATTCCATACTTAATAAATACTGCGCCTCAGGAGTAGGGAAGGAGTCAGTAGTTCAAGTCGAGTCAGAGGCAGTCCGAAACAGAGTCGCGTTCAGACAATTACTGCAAGACATTGGAATAGTGATACTGGTCGAGACTACATTGTTCTCTCTACTAAACCTGATTGTTTATACTAACACTTCTACTTCTCTGTATATATTCCTGTTTGTAATATACCTGTATTATTCCATACCTGTGTTCGAGTTCTTCTTTATTGGTTCTACCTTGGACTATCACCGTGGTACAACGAACCGGACCATAACACTTCTTAATAAGATGAATGTTGGTGTTATGTTCCTATTCATATGTTTAACTTGTTGACAGACAACATTAATTACCAATAATATTTAATGTTTAACCTGAGATATAGCTTCCTGAAAGTTCTTTTTTCTCAGACATATTTTACTTCATCTTATATGTGCTTTAGATATGACAGGCTGAGTGATTTTGGTAAGACCTGTTTAAATTTATTTGTCATACATGTGAAGAAATAAAAATAAGCCATTTGCAATAAAATTTTCATATGATAGTTCATTTGTATTTAATTTATAATGGTTCAAAGAATGCCAAGCAGAATGGTTGACCTCACGCCTATTCACCTCATTAAATTTGGCCCTCTTTAAAAAAAAGTTTGGACACCCCTGTTCTAGAGGGATTAAGTCAAAGTGTTGGCATATTTTGCTTTCTACCATGTTTAATATGTTTGCTGAATGTGTAGAAAGTCACTGTAAAAGAAGGCAACACTAGAAATTTAATGAATCATCTTTGTGATCACCCACCACAAATTTATAGTGAATTCAAGGTAAGTTAACTTTTTAGTTCAATGTACAATACAACATAGGAACTTTGGGAAAGAAAAAATATCATAGTTAATCTGACTAACTTTCTGGTAGCTTGTCAATAATGTAAATTGAAGCTTTCATTATAGATTGAATTAAAAGGTTGTATAAAAATAATTTTGGTTAAGATTTGGTTAACTGAAATTTAACTGAAGTCTTTTGTAGGAAAATTCATTTTTTCTATATGGTTTACTTTGCTTTGTTTAAATATGACATTTGTTTCCTTCAGAAAGTTTTCATTTTTCAGAAATATTAAGTCTTAAATGGAATGGGTTGAAGAAGGGATTTAGTTTAATACATGAATGTAAAAGTTGATCCTGATTTTGTGCCTGTATAGACAAGGCAAAATACAATTTAAAAAATATAAAAATAAAAACTGGATAAGATTTAAAAAAAAAAATGAAGCAAAACATCCAAATGCCATTTATTTCAAATGTTTTCTTTTATCATAAAAGTGGCACAGAATGGGGATATACTTTTGCAGCCATATTTATGTGAACGGACACAAAATAAGGGTTCAGTTTTATATTTAATGTACATGTTAGACTGAACATTGATAGTCAACTAAATAAAAGGGGATGAAGGAAGAACTTAAATACAGATACATAAAGAAGGCTGGACAATTTCTACACAGATGAAGGGACTTGATATGACAGATGTGATTCTATTGATGAATGTTGAGAATAACATAACAGGTCATGTGAGCAATGAAGCAGTTTTAAAGAAAACATGAACTATAAGGAACTAAAATCAGGAAGTGTTAAAGTTTCTGGGATGCAACAATGAAGATAAAGAGCCTGGTGAATTTAACTCTCCAAGAACATTGAGGGCAAGAGAAACATCAGCAGTGAGTAACCTACTAAATGAATGTGTAATTGGATGGCAGTTGTATTAAATTATTTAACTGTAGTAACATAAGAAAAATTTCCTTTATACAAATGCATCTTAATTCTTAACCTTAATTTATAATGCTTGTCACAATTAGAGAGTTTTTTTTAATAATATGCTAGAAAAGTGGGGGACTAAAAAGAAAAAATCTCATCTGCATTATTACAAATATTGCAACTAATATGGTCAAGGCCTTGGAAGATTTTTCAGGTACTTTGGCTTTAGTTTGAACCTGGCCATCTTAAAGGCCATAAATATTCAGAGTTGACAAAACAATCCACATGAGTTACCATCTAGTCACAGGCTTGTCTTGGAATTGGAAGTGACCTGAAAAAAAAAAAAAAGAAGCTAGCTGCTTCTAACATTCCACATAAGGCTAATGTATGACATGATAACTTGATGGGAATCAAGACACAAGATGCTTAAGCATTTACTTGGTCCCAAATGTAGGCAGTTTGTGCAACTAGCTAGAGAAAGAAGAATGTGTCATCTGATGCTCAAGGATGCCAACATAAGTATCATGAAGCAAATGTGTCAGCTCTGTGCAAGTTTACTGGTGTACTTACCTCAGGGACACAAGTGGTATTGTCAAATTTTGTGTCTACCCTTGACATATTGCCTATGACATTTTGGTGGGAAAAGGTAAGGAACCATCCTTAATCAAGAAAAAAGATGATGGAGGAAGAGTTTAAAAACAGGAATAGAAATGCAAAGAGTATCATGCACATGTCTTGCTTCACTGGTTCCTCTGCCTCATTTCAAATATAACTTTTTAAATGATTCTATGGCTGCAACAACAGTTATCAGTTACTTATTTGCTGCATTTTTTAACATTATCAATAGATTTCACAAACACTGTGATAATACTGATCATTTAGGTCATAATTTTTTACAATGTTGTATCTTTTCTTCTATGTGCTGTGTCCCTTCAGGACATCAGTGATCATGGCTCTTCACAATTTCCTGTCTTTTGTAGCTCTTTTTGTTTTTGTTATCTGTCTTAAACCCTATTCTGCTATCCATTTACACGTTTATTAGGTAGGTTATGTGCTGTTTTTCTCTGTCTCTCTTACCTTCAATATCTGGTGAGTATCAAATTTTCCAAGCCTTCTTTCCTCATTATGTGCCCTAGAAATTTCAACTTTCTGTTTTTGCTGTTAAGTATAAGTGTCCTTTTTGTTTTCATTTTCTCTAAAACTTCATTATTGCTCACATGATCAGTCTAGTCTGAATTATTCTAATATCCTCCCCAAATATGTCAAGGCTACCTGGTCTTTGTGACTAAGTATGCCAACATTCTTATATTTCAATCAGAAACAAAGATGTCAACTATTTAGGCATGACCAGTACTGCAAACTTTTCTGAAGAGTATATCATTATATTAGAATAAAATGTGAGGAAATATCTTTCTGATTGTGCCCCAAGTGAAGTTATTTCTTATGGTTACAGTATCATGATGCTATCTTAAAGGTGAGTGCATAATCACATTTGATTATTAATGTTATTATTTTAATGCTTATGCATGTTATAATAAGCATTTGGTTGCAAAGGAAAGAACAACAAGGATTAAATTTTCAACAGCATGTATTTATTAAATATACATAGTTGTTTGTAATTTGGCAAAAAATTGTTAATATGTCGTTCTTCAGTTGCTGTTGGTCAGGAAAGCAATTAGGTGTAAGGGTGTTGTTGGTAGGGCTGGGAGTTGGCCAATTTCTTGCATTGATTGGTAGAAGTCACAGTTAAGGTCAGAAGACGGTTTGATGGTGGGGTGGGGTTATAATTCACACCATTCTTTAAGATTGAAATCAACATTTATGGCTGTGTTTGGTGGGCTGGTGGA